AGATGGGAAGTTCTTATTTCTTAGATTCAGGACAAAACTGATAACTAACCTTTTCTAATGTTACATAATTTATGAACTTATGTCACTTATGATGTAATATTGATCATTGATATGAATGTTAGGTTGTTACTTTCTTTTTAGAGTTTCTTGTCTGGTTGAATATTGATATAATGATAAGACTGTAGTACAGGACAATCAAATGTACTTTCACAAATTACAGAATCCTTTATTGAAATACTTCGTTGACAAAATGTCTTTTGTTTCCACATCAATCACTCATTGCTCTCGTATTGTTCTCTTCGATCTTCTTCACCTTCTACCTCCAAGCATTTTACTTTCGATACATGGTATATACTACTTATATAAGTCGACATCAGTAGCACATACCACAATATCAGTACCCATATTAACACCTTCAACTAATGTCATTGTTGATGTTAAGCAATGAATTTCAATCATCAAATTTGTTCCATTGGACAAACTAGAGAACGTGTATGTTGATTGTAAAGATAGTAGATTCGAGTCCTATAGTGAGCATTAACTATTGAGATGTAGGTACATCAAGGTGACAGGTTCAAAAGAGGTCGAAATGGGTGTACCCACTTTCACTGCTAGCCAATATTGATACTTATATTTATGAAATATGTTTGGGATAATTGTAGTGAACGAGAACACAAGTGAGGATAATCGGATATTAGATGATGGTTGAAGGTAGTCGACAGGAAACTCTGGACCCGGGTTTCGTGCTACTTGGCACTCGTCAGCAAGATGTACCTGTAATCTTGAGGGAACTGGTGCTCCCTGGCGGATTCGATCTCGTGTCACTCAGTTTCACAGTTAGAGACGATAGCGTTCGATCTGCACTAATAAGGACTAGACACGCATAACATTGATCACCACCCAGTGATCAATCAACTGTGATAATCGAATGTATTTCAACACAAAATTACAGAATCTCTTAGTGAAATCTGAGAATCATACAGTAAATACTTCATTGACAAAATGTCAATCAATCGTCTTAGACTTCATTGTTCTTTCGTTTTCACACTAATCCTTCGTTGTTCTCTTTCTCTTTTCTTCGATCTTCTCAAACTTCTGCCACCAAAGATATCACTTTGATTAGTGATACATACTACTAATATCTATCGATATCAGTAGTATATACCGCAATATTAGTAGGGAAATCAAAACCATAACCGGATATATGTAACTATCAATACTTCATTATGATACTTCGTATAACTGTTATTTTGGTTGTTGGAAATCAAAAATTAATAAATAATTATAATCAATATTTAAAATAATTGATGCATTCCAGTTACCATAGTAACCGATAGTATTTATCTCGTCTATTCGATTTACTAATGATTGGAAGGTGATTTTTGATATTATTAACTAATGAAGTTGATCTCAAAGGTTGGTAACAATCATTTTAACATTATATTAGATATTCTGGTTTAGGTTACTTTAGGAATAGATTTAACAAATAATCATTGTGGAGAAGTTGGATGTCGGTCAGTTCAGTAGTTTAATGGTTAAGCGCTAGCGCGTGAGACTGATAGGCTCTGGGTTCGAATCTCATGTGGTGGGATTGTGGATGCGCACTGCCACTAAAGAATTCCACAATAGGACAAAACAACCGTCCAGTACTTCCAGATTTTCCATGTTGGTCTAGTTTTAATTGACTTATGATCTCAACTATTAAAACAAACATATGATGGACAGTTGAATTCGGAATCTGTGTATGTGTTAATATGATCCGATGGATGTGAAATGTGTGGTTGAAACGACTATGGTTTATTCTTAATAACCTAGGGTATAAGCACAGTATTTCGATGGTGATTTAATAGTCCTTTATCGAACTCCAGTTAAGCCTTCTATCATCGTATATAATCCTTATCTTAACCCACATTAGTTAATAGAGGGGTGAGACTATAATTTATGGACGAACTAATCAGGTATAAGATAACAGGTCTCAGATTTTGGCTCGAAATTCACTCATCCATTTTGAAAAATAGAGTTTTGGCATTATAACTGATATGAATTCGTAATGAAAACCATAAATGTAATTTCTAACCTTAATCATCAACTGTTAATCTCAATTCGAAGTCCTCACACTGGTTTATAACCCTCAGTTAGTCATAGTTGTTAGATGGATACTTTCAAGGTCAATATGGAGACCCTCTAAGGTTGCCCATACATTATAGTCTCACCAATAGAGGAATTAAATAAGCCAAATGCGAGAATGAAGTATGAATACGTACACTCACTGATCTGGACAAACAATCAGGGTAACGAAATGACGCACAACGGAGACGATGAGTGAGCTAATTCGTTTTGACCCTTGTATTTGTCGATATTTTTAGTTAGGCAAATATGAGTTACGGACACTTGATGAATACGGTAAGCAATTAACATATATATGATCATATAAAGACAGTTATATGACTTGAGAATGGATAAATTGGTTAGAATAACCTATGTAAGTTTGACATGGTACCATCTGCTATAACGCTATGCATTTTCAATAATCTGGTCACTTCTCTAAATATTTAGAAACATAACAAACGAGTAGTAGATAATAAGAATATTGTAAGATGTAATGTATGTTCTCACATGAAGTGTAAGAGATATTTAATTGCTTAGTTAAGCCTGTTACTCCTCGTGAAGAAGAGCATAGGTCGCTCACCAACATTCTCCATCCAACACTGTCCTAGGCAATCCTTTCCAACTCTTTCCAGTTCCTATTCATCCTTTTCATATCTACTTCTATTTTCTGACGTAATGTGTTCTTCGGCCTTCCTCTGTTCTGAATCACTTCAGCATTCCAAGTTACGACTAGCCTCGTGATGCAGTTTCATGATTTCTAAAATGTATATCCTATTCACTTCCAATGTCGTTTTATAATTTCCTCGTCAAATAAAGGTTGGTTAGTTCTGTCCCACAGTAGACTGTTACTGATCGTATCCAGCCATTGGATGTTGAGTATCTTACGTAGACAACTATTTATAAATAGTTGAACCATTTTGATGATGGTTGTAATAGTTCTGCAAGTTTCAGCTGCGTACAGTAGAACTAACTGTGTTGATGTTCGTATTGAAGATTGTGACTTTGATATTGGTTGACAGACAGTTGTTTTGAGTTTCATATGTTCTTCAATTGTAGGAATGCGACCCTTGCTGTGCATTCCTTACCTTTACGTCCATATCCGATCCTCCTTGTTCATCGATGATGCTCTCTAGGTACGTGAAAGTTTTTATTTCTTCCAAAGTCCCTACACTGAATGTGATTGGATTGGTTCTCTCTGTGTTGTATTTGAGGATCTTGCTTTTTCCTTTGTGTATGTTGAAGTCTACTGATGCAGAGGCTACTGCTACATTAGTTGCTATCATCTGCATTTGTTCATGTGTATGAGATAATTGGCTAAATATTATAGGTAATACTACTACCTTAGGATGTTATGTAAATATTTCCTGTTATTCTTCCCTGATATGAGTCATTTAAATAGTGAAATCCCAATAGATTCTACAAATAAGTTTTCATTATATGTTATACACCTATAACGTATCTGTTGACACCCGATTAAGGAACCGTTTTATTGAGGTTTTGTTAATTAACTTGAAATCTCAAGCATTGTAAGCAAAGATGGATAATGGCTAGCAGTGAAATCCAAGACACATGTTTCGTACTATTTGAGACTCATCATTTGAATGTATCTGCATCTCAGAGTTGATGTTCATTCTGGGACTCGAACCCGATACCGTTCACTTTAAACACCATCAAATTATCCACTTAGCTACTAAGTCATGTCAACTGACTATGAAATAGATCCTGGTGATAATAATAACCAAACCATTTAGCTCAAAACAGAAAGAAACAAAACTCAACAACAACAACACTGAAATAATCTTTAATACAACTTGCTATTACGTAATTAAGTATTTCAATAGAATAACTCTGATCACATATTTAAATGTAAATAATAAACAATTGGAAACATTCATTATTCTTTATAAGAAGGAATAACTATAAGGTATGATAAATATAACCCTCCCTTTCCCCCCAGCGCCTCCCCCCCCCCAAAAAAAAACAAACACCAAATTCTATCAATCTCATTATTCACAAAATCATTAATACTAATACTACTTATAATAGTTATAAGTAATAATAATAGTGGATAGATATTCAAATGGTATTAAAACAAGCAGCGTTAACGACGACGACGACGACCACCACCACCACCACCACCACAACAACAACAACAACAAAACACACAAAAAACTCACTGAGAAAAACAAAGAAAAACGACATAGGAAACAAACAAGAAAAAAACAATAACAAAATGCACGGTAATTTTCTTCTGTTTTTTTTTCTTAAAAAAAAAAGAAAAAAGGATACTCATCTTAATTGTTTCAACAAGAAAAAACAAGAAAGAAACAAACCCTCTATCCATTTCAATGTTTTCATAGAGGTTGGATGGTTTACATAGAAAAAAAGTTACAAAATAAGATATTCATGATATGTCAAAGTGGGATTCGAACGGTGAAAATATGGTGTTGATATGTCCTTTTATTGATTGATTTGTTTGTTTATTGATCTGTTTATTTGTTTATTGATTGATTTGTTTGTTTATTGATCTGTTTATTTGCTTATTGATTTGTTTGTTTGTTTATTGATTTCTGTTTATTTGTTTATTGATTGATTTGTTTGTTTATTGATCTGTTTATTTGCTTATTGATTGATTTGTTGTCTGTTTATTTGTTTATTGATTGATTTGTTTGTTTATTGATCTGTTTATTTGTTTATTGATTGGTTTGTTTTTGTTTAAATAAAAGAATGTAAAACTTGATTGAGCAAGAAAAAATTATGGAAAATTGTTCAACATTAACTATTGAATATGAATATTTAAGTAGTATATATATATCGTTCTTATGAATTAAAAGGAAAATAACATTAATAATAATAACACAATTGATTTTAATGATTTAATAAAAAGTAATTTAAGCACAACGTAGATTTGTACCAGCTTTTAATCCTTTGGAACCAAAGTTTTTAATATAACAATCTGTAAAATAGGAAAAAAAAGATGCCCCATTAAGTACACACACATATATATAAGCAAAGATGGAGAGTGGCTAACAATGGAATCAAGAATACCAGTTTCGTCGTATTCGAAACACATCAGTTGAACATACTTGTATCTCAGAACTGATGTTCACTCTAGGACTTGAACTGAATACTGTTTGCTTTAGCCGCCATCGTGTTATCCATTTACCTACTGAGTCCGGATAGCCACTTGCTTATGCTATGAGTTGAAGTTTAAATTCGCTTGGTTTTTGGTTGAGATCATGAATTAAATGATGTTAGACCAGCGTTGGAAACCTGGAAGCACTGGACGACCGTTTCGTCCCGATATGGGACTCCTCAGCAGTGTGCATCCACGATCCCGCATCACGTGGGGCTCGAGCCCAGGACCTACTGGCTTCGCGCCTGAGCACTTAACCATTAGACCACTGAGCCGGCATCCAATGGTGTTAGTGTCTAACATCAACCAATCCACGAAATTGCGCGACCACCTTCCATTGTACTGAGGTAGATACCTGTCTCTACCCGACACGGATTAGCTCCACTGGTCACGACTTCTCACTAGAACTCCGAGAATTCCCTCACGAAGCTAGTCACTAGTGAGCACATGTTAACTATCAGTTTGCTTGAATCTTCAGATTAATGTTTAGGACTGAAATTCATCGGTCCCTTATTGACATATGCACATCCAGCTGACGAATGCCAAGTAGGACCAAACGTGCATCCTGAATTTCACTACTAGTTATCATCCATCTTTGCTTATAGAATTTGTGACGTAAGGCGATATCGAGACAGTCCACACAGGATGCAGGTACGCCAACAAGAGGATGATCAAATGCAGTTTTTAAAAAAATGGTAAGATGGAAGCAAATAATACTAAGTGAATATATATATATATATATATATATATATATATATATATATATATATATATATATATATGTTTGTAAGTAGTCGGTAGGAAACTCGGGACTTAGATTTTGTCCGAGTATTCGTCATCAAGACATATTTGTTATCTTGAGGAAATTGTCGTAGTACAACCAGTACCAGTCAGCTTCACAATCTGACTATCTCGTAGTGGAAATCCAGATTTTTCTCAGATCTTTGATGAATACGAAAAGGTGAAAAATATAAAAGAAATTTGATTGCAGTACAGAGATTTAGAACTGGAACATTGGAAACAATCAATGTTAGATTAGATTCCTACTACTGTTAATGTAGTGAACAAGAACCCAATGAGTGACAACCAAATGTATTTGAATACAACAATACAGAATCTCTTTGTAAAATCATTGGTTCTTCATTTTCACATCCATCATTCTTTGTACTTGTTCTCTTCTCATCGATATTTTTTTGAACCTTCTGTTCACCAGACATTCCACTTTCGACTAGTGACACACATACTACTTATATCTATCAATATCAGTAACATACACCATAATCAAAATCTTTCATAACTCAAATGACTAACATCTAATATTCTCTAATAAATAGATTAAGCTCATATTTCATATTACATAATAATCACTAGGATTATATCATCATGAATACAAGTGATTGTTTCGATCATGTTCATTGAAAGAACAAAAAGAAGTGAGAGGAGATCAAATTACATTGTTTACAAGTATTGTAATAAAATCTGATCCACCCATGAACTATTTCAGGGCGTATGACCTTAATTCAATACAACTATTCAATTAGAGATTATTTATATTAGATAGTGTAATAAATATGATTGTTGTTGTTGTTTAGATTGATGAAAGTTGAGATGACTGAATTATTGTTGATTAAGGTAGTCGAAGTATACATAGTATGTATTACTGATGTTCATAGATATAAGTAGTATATGTATCATCAATCGAAAGTGAAATGCTTGGAGGTAGATGGTTGAGAAGATCAAAGAGAAGAGAACGAGAACAGAGAATAATTACTGTGGAAACAAAGGAACAATGAAGTCTAAGACGATTGATTGACATTTTGTAAGTGAAGTCTCACTGTATGGTTCTCAAATTCTACTAATTGATTCTGTAATTTTATGTTGAAATGCGTTCGATTGTCCCCACTGATGTTCTTCTTCACTCCACATATAGTACGTATGTTCAAGAATAATCTAAGACAATGGAAAATACTGGGTACTGTCTTAGTAAGACTGTTAGTAAAGCTGTTGATATCAATCACCTGTGTTGTAAAATGAAGAATTGTTTAGTTGAAGTTCACGAGATAACCGTGATAATCTTTTGGATATATTGAGTAAAATAGTTTAAAACCAATCTCGGTATTTCAAATTCATGGATTATTTGTCAGAACCTCTTCTCATAATAATCATCGTATGCTCACTAGTGACTATCTCCGAGAGTTATTTCCTGGAGTTCTGATGAGAAGACGTGACCAGTGAAGTTCAACCGTGTTTGTTGTGAGATAGTAACTCACTAAAGACAATAGTGGACCATGAAGCAATTTTGTGTATTGGTTGAAGTTAGACATTAACATGGTCGGATATGGATTAAACGTTCGCGAGCGAGACCGAAGGTTCTGCGTTCGAAGCCCGCGAGGAGGATCGTGATTGCAGACTGCTGAAGAGTTTCATACTAGAATGAGACAGTCGTTCAGTGTTTCCATGTTTTTCAATGGTGGTCTAACGTCAATTGACTCATGAATTCAACTTTAAAATTACTCAAATCTCCACAAAACCTCTTCTCATAATAATCATCGTATGCTCACCAGTGACTGTCAACGAGAGTTATTTCCTGGAGTTCTAGTGAGACGCAGTGATTAGTGGGGTTCAACTGGGTCTATTATGAGATAGTAACTCACTGAGGACAATGGTGGACGGTAGCTCAATTTCTTGCAGTAGTTGAAGTTTGACATTAACACCGTTCGATGTCGGCCGGTTCAGTGATCTATAGGTGAAGTGTTCGCGCGCGAGACTGATAGGTCCTGGGACAGTAATCATTAATGCGCACCTCTGAGGAGTCCCACAATAAGACGAAATGGCTATTCATGTGCCGATAGAAGTTAGTCATCAACACCGTTGAATGCTTCCTCAGTGGTCTAGAAGGTAAGCATTCAAGCACGAGACCGAAGGTTCTCGGTTCGAATCCTGTGCGCAGGGTCGTGAATCCATACTATTTAGGCGCTTCATACTAGAATAAAACAGTCGTTCAGTGTTTCCAGGTTTTTCATGGTGGTTTAGCTCGACTCATCGACCCAATGTGATTACATAATTCATATTACATAATTTAATAATATTATGCAATATGTACAGTTATATATATATATATATATCAACCTATGTGACATATATGCATGAATTACATATATCGGTCAAATTCATCATTTCTTGAAAGACAATCATCAACTGTACTATGAAAACCATGTATATACATATACATATACGTAGAGTTTACTCCGAATTAATCTACACCTAATTAGCAATGAACAATCTTTATTGTTTACAATGTAACTTATTAGGGTGATGCTGTATATCCAATTTGATAACCTTAAGTTAATGAAATAAGAGATAATCATATGATAAGAGAAAAGAAAAACTTATTCTATTTAAGATGTAACAATTATGTACATAAATTATAATGAACAGATAATATTACTGATATTTAATTTATTAGTATAAGGTTGCATTGACACCTGAACTAATGATAGGAAGTGAAATAGTTGAGCGTCTCTACGGTCTCATTTGTTTTGGGAGTCTCATCAGCCCCCGTGGTCTGGTGTGTGACAAAATCTCAACACGAATACAGAAGGCTTGACTAGTTTTTGCTAACTTGCGTTACTTATGACGTAGGCGAGATATTCGTCTACTAACCAAAGAAAGAGTTTACTGCACAGCAGTTCATTCCGTCCTACTTTATAGCAGTGAAACATGACCGGTAAGAGTAGAGGATATTCGTAGGTTACTAGTATCCGATCATAGGTGTCTTCGAAACATTGCTCGTATATCCTGGGACCACCGAGTAAGTAATGCAGTTGTTAAGAAACGGGTACTAGGTAAGGATGGCAAATCAACTGATGGAGTAATTAAACGTCATCAGTTGAGATGGCTAAGGCACGTGTTACGAATCCCCAACCACCGACTGTCCCGACGTGCGATGTTTTCTGGTGTAGGAGTAGGTTGGGAGAAAGCTAGGAGCGGCCAGACCGAAACATAGCACAAATCTACGATGTCACTGACTAATGGACTGAGACATGCTGGTAGTGTAGACTACATAGTTGGAGTCCGTGTGACGATAGCAACCAATGGTTAGAGACCTTGAATGTGACATGGCTCAAAATCGTTTGTAGTGGCTCAGGTGTATCCACTCTTTGTGTTCTCTCAAATTCCGAAACGCTGAATTCTTCATGTCCCTTTCTATTTTGTCTTTCCAAATTTATTTCACTGGATTATACTCCTTGAATAACATCTTCAAATCCTAATGTTTCCGATTACGGCTTATAAATTTACTACCACTATGGGATTTGAACCGACAATTGTATCTGTGTGCTAATGTAATATGCCAACTCGAACTGATGTACGTACTTACGAAGTTCTACGTTGTAACTGACTGACTGACGGGTGTATAAGGTTGTAGATATTGTTTATGCTTCTATTTGTACTTCTACTTGAAGTTTGTGCTACTGATGATGATGATGTTGTTGTTGTTTAGAAGAATGATGAAAGCTCCACGATCAAATCATCTAGACTAGAGAACAAAACTTCATCAAAATTGTTTATGATTGTTTGAATAGGATCAGTGTGACTCGTTGTGTATGTGAAACATTCTCTGCTTCATGGTCGGAGCATAACAGGAGCTCTCCTGAAGTTAATTTTCGTTATCTAACTTGCATTCAATGTGTTTCACAGAATCCAAGCATCTCCGAGTAGCAAGAGCAGCATATCTAGAATTGAAGAACATCTGGAACTCAAAACAACTCTCTATCAGCCAACATCAAGGTCAGAATTTTTAATGACAATGTCAAAACAGTTGTACTCTATGGGGCGGAAACTTGGACAACAACGAAAGCTATCATCTACAAGATACAGGTGTTTATTACCAATTGTCTACGCAAAATACTTCGGATCCGTTGGCCAGATACTATCAGCAACAATCTACTGTGGAAGAGAACAAAACAGATTGCATCGTAGGAAGAAATCAGGGAGAAGTGCTGAAAGTGGATAGGATACACATTGAGGAAAGTACCCGACTGCGTGACAATGCAAGCGCTCACTTGAAATCCTCAAGTTCAAAGAAGAAGAGGAATTTTAAAGAACACGTTACTTTGAGAAATGGAGACAGATATAAGAAGAATGTACAAAAATTGGATAGAACTAGAAAGGAACATTCAGGACAGAGTGGGTTGGAGATTGGTGGTCGGCGACCTATGCTCTATTAGGAGTTACAGGCGTAAGTAAGTAACTCATCTCTTTCTATTATATGAAATAAAAGTTCCTCCCTTTTGAATTTCGCGCAAGACGCTTTACTCGATTCTGATTGGCTCATTCCTACACTCCTTACAATTTTAACTATAAGATTTGCAGTACGTGATATTAAAATGCAAATGTGTATACGTTTCTATGATTTACTGTAAATGGAAGTAATACTATACTTTACAAATATGAATATATATCACACGTTTCCATCTATTCTAATATATAGATTTTTGATTGAGATCATAAATCGATCAATGTTAGAGCATTATTGAAAACCTGGAAGCACTGGATGACCGTCTCGTCCTAGTATGAAGTTGCTCAGCAGTGTATATCCACGATCCCGCACACATGGTTCGAAACAGATATCTAGTGCCTCCAGGTTTTTAATGGAGCTCTAATATTCAACGATTCATGATCTCAATCAAACCTCAACAATCATCAAAATCTTATACAGAAAGGGAAACGGAAAATTGGAAGGCCAAAGAACACACTACGTTGAGAATTAGAAGCAAACATCAAATGGATGAATAGCAACTGAATACAATTGTAAAAGATTGTTCAGGATAGAGTTGGATGGAGAATGCTGATGGATGGCCTATACTCCATCACGAATAGTAACAAGCATAAGCAAGTAAGTAAAAGCTTAGAATAGATTCTTTTATGTGAGATAGAGTTTTAGAACAGTGGTGAGACTATAATTTATGGACGAGTCAGTCAGAAGCGTTTGATGGATTTCAAGACCAGAGCACCAATTTCAGTACCTGATGCTCATGTACGATCGGTTCACAGCGGAATTTAGAAAAAAAAAGATAACTGAGCGATTACAACAAATGGGACTACTAAGAAGTTCCTTTACTTGTAATTGTGTTAATCACACGACTTGTGAAAACTACCGTGATGATGTTTTCTTTCGATGTAATCTATGTTGGAGAAAGAAGTTTGTTAGAATAAGATTTTTTCACTCGATCCAGATTGAAACTAAAGCAAATTGCAAACTGGATAATGAAAGCATCAGTAACACTGGCTGCAACCAGTTACTACAATATATACGGATGATTGGAGAGAGTACAAATGCCTACATAGACTTGATTATGTGCATCGTGTCGTTATCCACAAGTGACATTTTGTGGACCTAACAACCAGAGTGCACACAAACAATATTGAAGCTATGTGGTCGAGATTGAAAGAGTTTTCGAGATTTCATCATGTCTCCAGAGGTCAACTATTATAGAGCCATATAGATGATTTCCTCTACTGTATGCATTACGACTTTAGACAAGTTTTTGAACCATATAAAAGAAGTATATTCACTATATTTCTTTGGTTTTGTATAATATACTTTGACTTTATACAAACTGTTTTCTGATGGCGTTTTGTTCTTTGAGATGGATGGTTTGGTCATCGTTCTTCTGAACGACATCATCAGCACAAACTTTAGATAGAAGTGAAGTGTTCAAATTTCTCCATATGCATTTCACAGATTGTTCTGTACACCTCGACGTCCAACTGAGCTACAAATCTTCTCCACCATCTCAAGACTGTTTTCTGATTAGCTAATATTTGAATAAGAAAGATTAGTTCAACGTTGTGGAGATTGTTAAGTTTTTGATTGAGATCATAAACCGTTTGATGTTACACCACCATTGAAAACCTGGAAGTACTGGATGGCTGTTTTGTGGAACTCCTCAGCAGTGCACACCCACGATCCCGCTCGTGGGATTCCAACCCAGGGCCTTCAATCTCGCACGCGAACGCCTAACCTACTTGACCACTGAGCCGGCATCCAATGGTGTTAGTGTCTACCTTATACCAATCCACGAAATTGCGTGCCTATCTTTCATTGTACTGAGATAGATGCCTGTCTCTACCTGATACGGATTCATTTCATTGGTCACGGCTTCTCACTAGAACTCCGAGAATTCCTTCATGAAGCTAGTCACTAGTGAGCATTAAGTTTTTGATTGAGTTCATGTACCGATTGAACCGATTTCTCAAGGTCACTTAAGATTCCTTCAAAGGTCATCCATAAACAACTAATTGTTATGACAAAAAAGACTATTAACTTACTATGACAAAATACTTCACGATTATGATCACATGCAGTACCACGATCAAGAAGACGTTGACAATCATTACATTTAAAGCATAAACGATGAAATACCTTACCAACTGCATCTATTCTTTCATTTGCATAAACAATATCTGAACAATTTGCACAACGTGTTGAATTACAATTTCCACTAGACCATCGTATACGAAATGGACGTGGAATATAATTTCCACTATGTTCTAAATGAGTTAAACGATCTTGTGAATGATAATCTTGTGATTGACTATATATTGACTAGATTAAGATAATGAAAGACTTACTTTATCATTGGACTATGAGAATGTGAATAACCATTCATTTTAGTACAATCTCTGTAGAATAGTAAGAAAAAGACAAAACACAAAATAGAAACAGAGGGATAGTGAGATAGTGGAGAAGATTTGTAGTTCAGTTAGATGAATTCTGTTAGAGTTTTATTCTCTGAGCTGGATGGTTTGATCGTGGGAGCTTTCATTATTCTTCTGAACGAAATCATCCATACAAATTTCAGGTAGAAGTGAAGTGTTTGAATTTCTCCATATATGGTTCACATTGAAGATCTACAGTACAAGTTGTGAACTATATGTGTAGAAATTCGAACACTTCACTTCTACCTGAAGTTTGTGCTGATGATGTTTTTAAGAAGAACGATGAAAGCTTCATGACCAAACAATCCAGCTCAGAGAACAAAACTCCATTAAAATAGAGGAATAATTTTTGAAGATTTCTAGAAGGATTAATTCTTTTGATGAGACTGTAATTTATGGACTAAAATGATCTTGGAACGTCTATCTAATGACTAGGGTTATAGATTAGTGTGAGGAATTAGAATTCAGATTTATGATTAAACTTTACAGTTAGGAATTAGATTTAGTTTTTTCACCAGGAACTGACATCAGTTATAATGTCAAAACCTGGTGGCACTGGACGGCCGTTTCCTTCTAACATGGGACTCCTAAGTAGTGCGTATCTACAATTCACAAGACTCCTCTCTGATTATAATTATCATATGCTCACTGGCGAAGGTTTCCAAGAGGTATTTCCTGGAGTTCTAATGAGAAGCAATGAACATTAAAGTTCAACCGAGTCTGTTGTAAGATATTAACTCACTGATGACAATTGTGAACGGTGGCTCAATTTTGTGGATTGATTGAAGTTAAATATTAACACTGGTGGATGCCAGCTGGCTCAGTAGTCTAGGGGTTAAGTGTTCGGTTGCGAGACCAATAGGTCCTGGGTTAAAATCTCTTGAGGTGGGATCGTAGATGCACGTTGCTGAAGAGTCCCATAATAAGACGAAACGGCCGTCCAGTGCTTCTAGATTTTCCATGATGGTCTAACTTCAGTTGACTCATGATCTTAACTATTCAATTATTGCAACCTCAACAGAACCCCTTTCTCATATTATTGTATTTAGTTAATGAACAAAAAATGGGCGTTATATAAAAAGAGATTCAGTTATACATTTGGACAACCATTCTCATTTAAATGATGAGTAATTATAGTTTGCTATGAATTCCACCCTCGTTTATTGCTCTGATTTATTCATTAATATATATATAAACTGTTTTGCTGAAAAACACTGTGGAGGGAAGTTATAAAAACATGAATTTACAAACTTCAATACAGATTAGTACAGTCCTGAAATTCGTCAGGAATTACATTTTTCACTTGCCTTGTCATTGCTTTCACATTGTCTCATTTACGTATTATCTAAGTACTATTTCGCTCCCGAATGCCCTGGTATGACCGAGTGTGAGAAGAGCCAGCTCTCGGTCTCCAAATGCTCTCACATGGCCACGTGCATACAACTATTACCAGAGAAGTTCTACACACTGACTTCTTGTGGAGAGGGTGTTGTATACGAAACTGAAAGGACAAATGGTGAATATCCGGTGCTTTAACCGAGTTGGTGAATATGGAGGATCCACTGAGGGAATTTGGAAAACCCCCATTCAAAACCGTTGGTGTATATGGGATCCAGGATCCCAAGAAAACCAATGGCATATGAACCAATTGTTGGTGACGGACCACCATGAGACCGGATCTCCTAACGTTTCCCCACTGCCTTGTAGATTAGACCTTTAAGTCAAAGGATCAATGTATGGTCCCTTAAAGAAACCACCTACCTCAGATTGGGCACCCAGACAGTGTGCTAGACTTCACAGAGTTACTTGGTAAAATAGAAAAACCATACTATAATACTTAATTTTCAAAATGTTCAATAATTGTCTCGAACTTCGTTGTTTTTGCATTTCCATACTAAATGCTTTCTATTCCCGCTCTTCCTTTCTTGATCTTCCCCATCTTCTGACGCCAGACATTACATTCCTGACTCGCGTCATATACGACTTATATCAATATAAGTAGCACGCATCATACTACTTCACGTGATGATTTTGCATTTCATAAATAGAAAACTTGTCGAAAGTTAATTGTGATGATTAGACTAAATGATTTAGAAGAGTGATTGAATTATGGTTCATTTATGAATAACAACTTCTATCTAGCTGAGAAAGTATATTTCTTGACTTTGGAAAGAAATTACAATGTTCATTAATTAGTATCAGAATGAAAACATGCCATTAAGATCATTAACAACTCAAGTTGTCATAGGTTTTAATACAAAACAATCGTAGCTATTTTAGTCGCTTATCTAATGTACTAAGTAGTATACAAGTTTTTTTAAAGGCATATCTATCAGATCAAATGATTACTTTAAACTAGTTATCAAACAAATTGTGTGTTTTTTAAATATTAACAATTTCAGTAGTATGTAGATTAGAACAATACATATAAGCGAACAATATTGTTTTGTACTAAATCTTCATCGGACTTTACTCTAATATACATGAATATATATATACATGGATGGTGGGTAGAAGTGGGATCAAAGATGCATGTTTCATTCTAATTGGAACTTTTTATCTTCATGTACCTACAACCCAGAGTTGATGTTCTCTCTGGGAATTGAACTCAGTACCGTTCACTTTAAAGTTCATTGTGTTATTCACTTGGTTTATTCATTTGAAGTGAATGGTACTGGGTTCGAGTCCCAGAGTAAACATCAATTATAAGATGCAAGTACATCTAGTTGACGAGTTCCAAATAGAACGAAACGTGCGACCTTGATTCCATTGCTAAACACCATCCATCTTTGCTTATAAAGCTTGTGATTTAAGGCAATCCGCACAGGATGCATATATGCCAATGAGATACTGATCAATTGAAGTCCTAAACAACCATGATAAGATATAAGCAAATAATATCTAGTGAATATATATGCACATTTGAGAAATAACAAACTAATCAAAGTAATTTGGAAGTCAATGATAACAATCAAATAGAATACGTGATTCATCATAATAATTAGTAGGTACATGTTGATAGTGAGATGACAAGTGTGTTAATTGTGAATGAATAGTAAATAGCATGATAGTATGAATAAATCTACTTAAATAAGAAGTAGGTCAAAGTTTGAAGAAACAAACAGTCAATTTATGCATATAAATGTTAAAGAAGAGAATAGGAACTGACAAACGATACATAGTGAGGAAATCTTGGAACGGATACAGAAGGCTCGACTAGTTTTTGCTAACTTGCATCATTTATGACATAGACGAGATATCCGTCTACTAACCAAAGAAAGAGTTTACTGCACAGCAGTTCATTCCGTCCTACTTTATAGCAGTGAAACATGGCCGGTAAGAGTAGAGGATATTCCTATGTTACTAATATTCGATCATCGGTATCTTCCAAACATTGCTCGTATATCCTGGGACCACCGAGTAAGTAATGCAGTTGTTAGGAAACGGGTACTAGGTAAGAATAGCGAATCAATTGATGAAGTAGTGAAAATTCATCAGTTGAGTCCGTGAGACGATAGCAACCGATGGTTAGAGACCTTGAATGTGACGTGGCTCAAAATCGTTTGTAGTGGCTCAGGTGTATCCACTCTTTGTGTTCTCTCAAATTCCAAAACGCTGAATTCTTCATGTCCCTTTCTATTTTGTCTTTCCAAATTTATTTCACTGGATTATACTCCTTGAATAACATCTTCAAATCCTAATGTTTCCGATTACGACTTATACATTTACTACCAGTACGTGATTTGAATTGAAAATTGTATCTGTTTGCTAGTGTGGTATGGTAACTCGAACTGATGTATGTATGAACGAAGTTCTACGTTGTTACGGACTGACTGACCGACTGTTAGGTTTGATTTCTGATAAAGAAAAGGACTGAGACATTAAGAACCTTTTGTGAATACAAACTTTGATGTTGTTAGCTTGAATCTTTATTGCTTCTGTCCTAAATAAGTGACTATCGTAACTAATGGTTGAAGACTCTAGGTGACTTGGCTCATAATCGATCACAATGGTGTAGGTTTATACACTCTATGTCTTCCCTTAAACGATGAGATTAAAATAGCTCTATATCATTCTTTCTACGAACTCATTCTTTCTTCCTGTTCTATATCCTTATATGCAATCTTTTATATATTACCACCATTGAATTAGCTACTTCTATGAATCCGGTGTTCATCTTGTTGTGCTAATGCGGTATAATATAGCAACTTGGACCGATGCTTATATGTGTCTGGTCCTGCGTTGTAGCTGACTGACAAGAATGAACTCCATATGAAAGATGTTTAATTAATCGCTTTGAATGCTACTAATATGATAAATCTATTGACCAAGTTGGATAAGACGGATTTACACAATTGTCATGCTTGAAATATTACGAACCTTTTTAGAATGTTGAGTAAGTTGTCTTGTATTATTATTAATGTAACTTTCTTCAAAGAAGTATTTAAATTATCAAATTTATACTGGTGTACAAAAACCAGATAAATTGCGCTTAAGTTGAGTTGTGGTTTGTGCTACTTATATCGACGCAAGTAGTATACAACGCAAGTCTGGCAGTAGAAGATTGAGAAAATAAGGAAGGAAAGAAAGGAAACAGGAAGCGATTGGTATAGAAATGAAGGGACAGTCAAGTTTAAGACAATTGGTTGACATTTTGCAAATGAAATATGGTTCTCAGTTCTTAGTAAAATATTCTGTAATTTAGTGTCCAGATATAATCGGTTGTCCTCACCTATATTCTCCTTTACTACAGAGGGATAACCATTGGTCAACTGGGAAGTGCGTAATGTAGATAATTTCACGGTTTCACCTACCTGGCTATCATATCTGTTCATCGCCTTAAAGTACATGCAGAACTTAAACGAACAGTAATGTTTTGAGCTAATAAATGTTTCGTTTCTAACTTGCACAATTTTAAAGATTAAAACCTTGCGAAGTTAGTCTCATAGCTGATTACCACTGAGGAATACTACTGTATAGTGTGTAGGTTTTAAATAATGAATATGTTCAGTATAAAACACTCTAGTAAGGTCGAGATTGGGGAGAGTCAGCTCTCCCTCTCCAAATGCTCTTTCACATGGCCACGCGTATACAGCCGCTACTAGGGAAGTCCTATTCATCGCCTTCTGGCGATGGGAGTGTTGTTTACGAAATCTACAGGACAAAAAGCGAATGTCCGACAGGGGAATAAACCGGGTTGGTGGAAAAGGAGGTTCCACCTAGGGGAGTTGGAAAACCCTCATTCCAAATCAATGGTGCACATGGGCTACAGGATCGTGAGCGAACAAATCGTGTATGAACCAACTGATAGTAACCTGCTATCATAGGACTGGGTCTCCTGACGTTGTTCCACTGCCTTGTGGACCAAGTCTTTACGTCGAAGGCTCCGGGTGTGACCCCCAAAGAAAACCACCTGCTTCAGTTATGGCGCCCGAGCAATATCACAGCCCTAATATATATCGAATGTGATTTGTGTGGTGCATATGTATTTGGTGCCTCCTTGTACCAATATCTATGTGTTCAAATAAATAAATAAATTCTGAATAATACACACCCATAGTTTTGGCTAAACTTTATTGAGAGACGTTTTTGTAAGAGAGTCGATCACACTACTCAACTGCCTGAATTCTAGTATTATAAAAGTTAACCCCGTTACTCATTGATTAGAAAGTGAAATCTCCAATATATGGTTTAAAGTCTTGGAAAAGCAAATTTTATTTTATTATTTACGTAATTTAAAATATAACATTTCTACTTGAGCTGAAATTATTGGTTTTACCTTTTTGTCATATTGACACACAGTAGAAAGTTAGTAGTTAAAAATTCTAGACAGCACATTTTAGGTTCAAATTTGTTCTATCCCCTGCAGTTTGAACAACTAAGCACGTATAAAAAAGTCAGTAAATTTGAGAATTCTAATTAAAGCATCGGTGTATCCAATGTTGCAGAAGCACCTTGCTGAGAGATATCAACTAATAAGAAACCTGGACTGGCCAAAGTTTTTTATCGACCACTTTAAACTACTTAACCTTATTTATTTAGGCTTTAGCTCATAAGTTTTACCACAAAAACTTTATGGAATCAAAATATCTCTCGTCAAATGAACGGGACATTTGATAAAAATACCGGATGAATACAGCTTTCCAAGACCCTGTGTTCCTTGCTTCAATAAAGAAAAATACATGAATCTGAAATTGTTTTCATGCCTTTGTTTTGTAATCAGAGAAAGGTTTATTTCCGACACAACATAGACTAGTATTTATTGGTGCGTAATGAAGATTATTGTGATCAGATATCTGTATTCATCACCCTCCATTCAAATAATATTTTCAAATCTTTATTTCTGAGGTGAAACCAGTTGCTGATTTTTCACTCAGTGTAAATGTAACAACGTCCTTCCAACTGCTGTTAACATAGCCGATAAACTCTCTCTTCCACACTGTGTATACATTCTAATTATTCCCTCATAATCCATCTAGTAAAGAAGAATGAACCTTACTGTGATTACAGGTAACTGCTCGAACGACATAGTTATCAAAATAACATAACCAAAGATGTGACAAACCAAGTTTTTTTCAGTTCTTATAGATGATTGGTGCCGTAAACGGTTTGTAGAGCTTATAAGTTCATCAAAATAGTGTTTACCGCACATTAACGCTTTACCAGAAATTTAGACAAATTTAGTTTTAGACACATTTATAAGTAATATTCTACTATATTTAACTTATTCACGATCGATTTTGATGACATAAACTATCCCTCGAAGTGTCATTTTTGAGCTTTTCTCAAGTGCTTCTGTGTGTACTTGAGTGAATTTAACTTTCTAGTTTTTAAAACTGATAAACATTATGGAAAAGATGTAAAATCAAGATAAGTAAGCTGAAAATCTCGGTTAATTACTAAGGAAACTTGAGGCGTTCTATTTACTCTCTCCTTTTAAATTCCGAAAATGTACTAAACATTTTCCCACCTAAAGTTTTGGTAAACCTAAATCATTTCATCATTGCATAAACTACTTAGAACACTACCAACAAAGTTTCGCTTCAAGTTGCATAAAGATTCAGAAATTCAGAAATACTTCACATTAACAGACAATTACTGAATGACAAATAACATCACTACAAGAGATTCATGTAGTTACAGTATATAAATTATTTGGCATTTACTGAGCATCGTCAATAACAGACCTCGCTTACTTCTTCATTCGAGGCTGTCTAAATTACTAATTACAATTTACTGGCTTTTATCTTTGTAAGTTCATTTAGTCTTGTCTAGAAAACAGTAGGTCAACAGAGTAAAAGCATTTATTAACTGAGTAGATATTTCAGTCCTTGAACTTAGATTATTTCCTCACTTCCTCGCAGAATGCAATGTTACATATGTGTGAATGTACATAGTAAATCACTCATTTTTATTTTCTGAATTATCGAATTACCAGTGTATGTCATTATACAAAAACAAGTACGCTTTCAAGAGGAAACTTGAAGCCGGAGATTGTCTTTAACTGTAATATATTACAGTTATAACCATCATTATAATGATGGTCAATACATATGATATTTTTTATCCGTTACTTGTAGAAAACTTTTAAACAGTTGAAAATCGCCATAAATAGAAAGAAAAAAATCTACTTACCGAAGATCATAAGTACTTCTCATTAGTGCGCCATTCGTTGAAAAACCATAGACATTTGGTCCGTAGTTCTTTGCATAGCAATTTTTGCAGTACAAAGAACCCTTATGATCATTTGCAGTAAAACTATCCAGAGCTTTGGAACATTGACCTAGAACGAAGGTCAGTCAAATGCCGTAATCTTACAGCATTTGAAGCATTGTTTATGAAACGCACGACCCATAGCCCTTATTTCTTCTGCAAAATAAACGTTTTTTGAGCAGACAGGACATGCTATTGGTTCAAATCTGTTTTTCATCATTAGTTAATCAGCTATGAAGTAAATCGAAAGAAACCCATGTATTTTGAATGAAGCACAGATACACTGGACATGGCAATTCAAGGTTGCCTGTTTTATTGAACAGGTAAAACAGGATAAAAGTTACAATAATTGTAAACAAAAGCACTCGGATTTGTCCCTATTTAATATTGTGTCTAAGATTATGGTATTTCTCATCTTTATATCCCATTCAGTGTGAGCGAATTCTGAAGGATTAAAATGAAACTATCTGATGTACTATAGTATGAAGTAAAGTCTAAGGCTCAGCTGTTCGTAAGAAGAAAAATACTCAAACCGTAAAATGATCAGCAAGGCTACTATTTTACCCTTATGAAATATACCATTGTTTTTTAAAGGACTAATTATCAGAGTTTAGAATGATGTCAATTTAAGGTCGTTTACGAGAACTTGGAATTTCAAAACTGCTTAGAATTACGAAGAGGAAGGCCTTCACTCTACAGTTTTAATAGCTGTTTCTCTGGTAACAGTTCCCCACTATGTCACACAGATTAGCCAACATCGAAATCTCTGTTTTCAGTTAATATCACAACAATGACGTTGAATTCCATCACCAGTTTTCGCTGGTCTTTGTTGTCGAAATAAGTCTATTTATTGCACATTTTTGACATTAAGTAATAGCATTGTTCAAATTATCATGGTGCTTTCAATGGTGTTTTTATCCATGAATGTTCAACTAATCTTTTTGTCTCTTGCGTCACTACGTTCTGAAAAAAAGTATTGTTTTCCTCTCAACACATCTATTAAATCTCACTTGCTGTTCTTCAGATTAATAACTTGTACACTGAAACTATAGCATATTTGAAGCTGTGAAAGCTTTTTGTGGTTATCAGAGATATTTAAATTATTGTGCAAACTATGAATCCCAGAAATAACCAAAAAGGACTAGATGGGCAGGAACGAAAGTATTGTATTTGGAGTTCGAAGTCACGTAATCATCAAGTACAAATGAATCATTAGTTGATAGGAACATTACATTTTTCTTCATTTTTTTAAAGAGTAACCTGCTCATTGAACCACACGTGCAAAACGCAGAATTCTATTCTGGCGGACAGTAAGAGATGTGGTGATGATGAGTGTGAATTTACGGTTGACAGAACTTTGACTTACAGTTGGGACTGTATAACTCGGCCATAGATAAGTACACTAATATCAACACCATAACTGAACTCCACAGTGTCCTGAAACCAAATTATTTTGGCTTCTGCATATTCTCGAGTGGGATAAAAGAGGGTAAGTTCCAGCAATTTTGAAGTTGGAGAGAGTTATCTGCTAGTTATAAGTAAAAACAATTCAATAGATGGACTTCAAGTATATTGCTGGTTATCATAAGAATCCGTTGAGACACTTCTTTAAACTAGTCGAAGAACAGCTAGAGACATGATACATAACTTTGGTACCAGAAATAAAAATGTCTTGGCTCCTGCACCCTGTAAAATCTCAGAGGACGATATGAGATGTCATAACGACTTCATGGAACGTCTAAACAGCTAGTGTGTAGTGGCATAGGGCCCTAATCACACAATCCCTAAAGCTGAACACTAGACAACTGGGAAACTTAATATCCGATATTTAACGCGGAGAAAATCCCAACGATGGAGAAGACGGGAAGAAGAAATTGAATTAATTCCAGTTGATCGAACGGCATGGCTTGGCCTTGCAGGCGTGGTCCCTGTTGGATGTTACCTTATATCTTTTACTCATACTAAATATATGGTTCTATATCCAGCCCTAATGTGTTCTCTATCATATATTGATAATTGTTACGATACGATGGGTCAGTGTGGACAGCGATGTGACTTCCACGTAAGATCTTATAGATTAAGTAATCACATCGTGATTAATGCACGATTTTAGGATCAAGTCCATTATTAGAGCATTACTAATATAATCGTGGGCCATAATTCTACAAGTGCTCATGTATGAAAAATGGAAGCAGAAAGGAATCGATAAGGATGAACAAAGGCAGCTAAGCAATACTGACCATCTATTTTTTTTAAAATATTCTGTACAATAAGCCAGAGTATTTTAGCCACCTAACTCAGCTATTCTTATGCCGAAACTAGCTAACATTTTAACGATCACATAGTCTATGTCATGTAACTTGGTAGCAAGGACATCCCACAACCTATTGAAAGAACAATGCTTCAACAATCTTAGTCATACTTGATAAGGTGAAGGGATAAAATAACAATGCAAACTGACAATGGACAAGCTCCTGCACGCGCCAAAATTAGTCCAATCGTAATCATCAAACCTGATTCTGATGTGATAGTTTAGCATTTCGTGACCAGTCTTTTGAGTCCAAGATGCGTATGATGTAAAACAGTAACATAATTGCAGTTCGTAGTCACCTAAGTAACTTAGGGTACCATCATCTGACACCATCGCCGACAGTAGGAAACTCAAACGGCAGTGACGTTTTCTCAATATTTTTCGGTAACACATCTCTGTGGAGAATCTCTTCCAAAACCACAAAAATGATGGACTTTATTCTAGATTCAAGAGACACTCAGTGACCACTTAAGAGCCAGAGTTCCTTGACAAATTTAGAAACTTTGACTAGGATACTAAATTAAACCTATCCGTTCCCTGTTACTTATCAAGCTTGTGATTTAACAGTTTATTCGCATCCTCAGCCTTATTATTCGAGCTAATACACAACACAGAAATGTCGCCACAAAATGCCCAGGACAACCTCGTCCCCTATTCCTTATTTACGTAATAACTTGCCGATATTCCTTTCAACCCTATTTACTTTCACGGTCGATTCCTCACGGAGTATACGACATATGTATTGCTTTGACCTTGTTTGCATCCTTGGTCTTTCTACATGTCACCTCATAAACATGAGAAACACGTAACGTGATGTCTACTTCTTGGTGTGGTACTTTGACGGCAGAATCTGTGGGTATGACAAAGCACACATTAAATATCTTACTTTTAGCTGTCACCAACAATGTGACTCATTTTTGATTTCGATCACCCATTTCAATGTTACCAGTCCATTTACGACTACGAATGTTATACCGATAAAAATGAGCTATAATAATTTTGACGAAGAATAGGTGTAGTGTCAGTCATTATTTTAAGCCCACAGTATATCTTATTCTAGTTTTTAAACAAACCAATCTATTCATTCTACGAGAGTCATATTTTGACCCTGTTAATTATTCGCTTAGTTTTGACTGTTTTTATATGAGCGTATATGTGTGTACACTTCATATTCCATGTCTCATCACATGTCTATATTTTATTTTGTCTGCCTATGAATATTGAGTAATGTCTGGCTAAAAATGAGTTGGCTTACCAGCCATTTCCCCTGTGCGTCATTTTTGCTTTGTTCTACTACATTCACTTTACATACAAAATATATGTATTCAAAGGCCATTATCGTTAATTGACTTATTTAAATTCCGTTATTGACTAACGTGATTTAAGTCGATGATTGCATACGAGGATAGGTGATAAACATTCGTACGATCATAGCTGTTTCGTTACAAATGACTAAACTTCACTAGTCATGAACACTCTTCGTTCTGCTTTTTGCCCCTCCCTTTCTATTTTTCAGATCCCTCATGTTATACCACCAAAAGCAACTGTGGAACATACGACTTTGTCCTATGCCATCACTTTTACCTATCGAATTCATTGGGGATCACCATCAAGGAGCCTGAACTAATGCACTTAATCTTACGTATTCGAATGGCTATTCTGGACTTTAATTCTATTAATTCTCGACCACCAACTGCTTTTCAGTATCAAATTCAATGAGTTGATAAAATAGCAGCTAACAGAATGTACCTATAAGTGTCATACTTGTAAACAGTGCTACTCATCAATGATTTCGGATTCCGTTAATAGAAATTCATTGATTATCTCTACAACAGATACGTCATAATTTATTGTTGATTACAACATGGTTTAGTTACCATGCTCACAAAAAAGTTATCGTTAGACTTATGACGAGAATATGACTAAATAATATTGCACTTATAGTAATGTTATACAAAGTTCCTTGCTTCAATCACATTTAACAAACAGCTATGAACATCCAAGTTCAACACCATTTTCGCCAAGTATTTGGCCTGAATTTTATTTTGGATTTATACCGAGTCAGTCTGTAATACAGTATGAATTAAGAATTAACTCATTAATACTTGTTTATTGATTCTATTTCTTCTAGGGTTGTGTCGCATCATACACTGAGAGCTTCAAATCCCATCATATAACTATGAACGCCTCACTATGTTATTAGTTTACTTTATACCATGTTTATGATGTTAATCGGTTAGCTTAATTGCTTCAACCTACAGCTTATAAACAGCTACCAGCATCCACGTTCAACATCACCATAATTAAAGACATGAATTAAATGCAAAAGTTCTTAAAGCTCACTTAGCCATAAAACTCTGATAACGGTCTGTTTTTTGACTTGATAAACAGTGAATTTAACTAGTCTGAATTAGTAATGTTACAAATAACCACATTAAGCTTACCAAAATATTAACACTGGTTGTCAGCAACAGATGTGTCAAACTACTAATAAACTACAATAAATATCATATAACAATCACAAACATTACGGAAATTAACGTGAGATGGAAAACAATTTTAATACCTGGTGAATAACGACATCCCAAAATCCTCGATAATATGTTACACGTGCGCCAAAACCCATGGAGTAATGGCCTGATTGTGCCCTGTTTGTCTAAACACCATACCCTCAAAGTGCGCCAACGCTCATATTGGACATTAGAGTCATACTAACATTGATATTCTAATATATGAAAAACTATCCCCTATTTATATTGTGCCTGATAAGACATCAACACAATCTAGCAACTTAGCAAAGTAAAGCCTGTGGCATTTGTAAAACTTAGTCTTGCTTGTAAACTGGCATGCCCCATGTGACAATGTTATCTGAGGATATAAATCATGACTATCTCTCAATAATTAATCAGTTTTATGAATCTAATAATAACTTGTTTAATTATTCTTGCCTTATTAGTTGACACTTTTCCGGCAACTTTTTTAAGCCCTTACCATTTATGCTGTTTTATTTCGTTCTACTTTCGACACTGTGTCACGTTTTGTAGAACTTTTGAATGATTCATATTAAGTATCTATCAATTTTCCCTCGTTTTGTTGTCACATACTTTTCTAATATTTGTTACACATTTGTCTATACGTTGTATTGATAAGGTTTATCATAATCATATATGCGTTCCGATTGTTTTTTTTAAAAGTATGATCTTTATATATTGAAAGCTTTCTTCTTAATCTACATATTAATGAGTTTGTGTCGCGTGTATCTAATTCCAGAATAACCTGATGAACTGGATATTATGCAGTTCCTTTTGACTGAGAATTATGCGCTTTATACTGTTTTCTGGCTTAATAACTTCCGTACAAAAGGTCTGTTAGTAAATCGCTGATTAATACTTCTCTTATTAATCACGAAAAAGGTCGCGAAACGTTTCATGTTATATAACATATAATCCTTTGGATCTTTCACCGTAATTTTCAGATCAAAACCACATAGAAAACAGACTTCTGCACGCTACTTACCAACTGTTATTACATGTCTTGGAATTTAAATTTAAATGTCCATCAAAAAATGGACCAGTACATCTACTGAAACCTTCGACGCTTTATAGTGGTTGACGTCTCACTGCATGCAATACCAAAAGATCATAAAACTTTATGCTGAATCTCTGTAATCACTGACGGGTGAGGTTTAAATATCAGCCGTTCTTGGGTTATTAAAACAGAACAACAAAACATCTGACTACCTAATATCAGTGTAGTTTCAGCAACGAATGAATAGTGTAATTCTTTGTCTGATGACAATCTTTCAGTTTTGGATATTTTGTGTAAATTTTGGAAGGGATTTCCAAAAAAATGTAAATTTACAGCTTTCCGGATATTTGTGGGTCTCAAATCGAACCTGAATATGTGTAGATCTGTGAAAATTTAACCTATATAGCCACTTGGCTAGACTTGGCAGCTCACTTCATTTCCCATAAATGTTGCTTGGGAATTGCAATATAAACATTCAGCTTCTTAAACTGAATCTGAAATACACAATACCTGCTTACAAGTCTGTAATAACAAAAATGTTTAGGCGAAAAAAGCAATGTCATTAACGAATATTTATGTGCCAAAAATTTCAGCATAAGATTGAAAAGAAAATTAAGCAGATATTTCTGTATATTGCGTAGGGTTATGTAGAGAACATCCAGCACGAGTTACTTTTCGACATAATAAACTTCAGGGACTCGTTACTGGGGTTAAGTAGACTTCATAAGTGGATGCGGCAGTTAAAGGGCTGTTATACTGAAGGGAATACATAAGGTAGAAGACGTTGCTGAAGGACTCTTACCAGTATGCGTTTTAATAAGTCCAAGGTGACCTTGTTTCTGTGAAATCTACTTTCAATCCGTTCACTGGAGTAGTTTCAATTTTCTGGACTCTTTTGATTGCGAAATATTTATCGACTGGATCAGTGGAGACAAATGGTCCTCCATAAGATTGTTGCGGTCTATGTCTCGCCTCATCCGCTCGAGTCAATACAAATTTGTGGGTGTGTGCAAGCATACTGGTCTGGTTTGGGTGACGTATCGGGGTATCACTTTTTAAACGACGCATGTAGTTTGAAAGTCAGTCGTGTAATCAAGCAACGTCGCAACTTCTTAATTCAGGAGCTGGCGCTTCGAGTCGACATAGAATAGCACGGTAAGTCTCGTAAAGTAAATGCATAGACGGGCGTCATACTTCTGCTGAAGAATTAAACGTAAAACAAGGTGCTGTTGGAAGTTGAGCTGAATGGGTTAGGCTTTCCATTTTGATCTAAAACTTCTCAGATCTAGAACATCGACGGAGGTACATCTATAGCAATGATATGCAGTGGTGTTGGTCCCGAACCTCACGATCTTTGAAGCTGAATATATAATTACTGTGATTTGCATTCAACACGTAGGGCTTAGAGATGGCCAAAAATGGAGATGAGGAATATTGATCAGTTTGGTATGACTAGGTTTACAGGCGTGGCCATTCTTTTAATTGATCCACTTTGAGTATATTATTATATCCTCAGCTTAATTATGCTCCTCAGAAGAACTAAACACCATCTTGCCGATTTTAACAACAGGATGAGTCAGTATAAATAGTGATATGTTTTCCATACAAAATCTTGCACATTTGATGGTTTCATCACGACAGACTTACAGTTTCGGGACCTATTATTATTATTATTATTATAGCAAAGGTGAATATACTTATACGGAATTCGATCATAATTCCATAGATAGACGTTTTCGTTGGTAGAAGCTTTCTGAGGATGACTTCTTAATTTAACGACTTTGAAGCATCCGCTAGTATATCCTTGTATCATGTTCTAACCTGCCTTCACTGCACCTTTGACAGTTCTAAAATATTTACGAATATCCTTCGCAAGTTGTGCTGTATCAACAGCGAATGGCTAGACAAATATACACTCACTTTCGTTACATGCTCTTTCGAATTATGAAAAGCGTGACAGTACAGTGGTATCGGATCCCAACTACACAAGTACTCAAGCTGAGTGTATAATTACTGGAAAGACTGGCATTCAACACACAACACCTGAAGGAGGTCGGTAATAGCGAATGCAGGGAGAATCACTCAGGAATGCATGGCTCGACCATGTAGGCGTGGTCATTGTATGTAAAACCCATTGTGTTTTTATTAAATAGGTTAAATGTATTAACCCCGAGGTAGACCACAATCCAACGATAGAAAACCTGCATGTGGTATCGTTTGAGCAATTTAGTGCACAATGGTGAAATCACAAGCATTCAACTTTAAATTTCATCTCTGGATTATGTCGGCAGATAAAGTGAAGTGACTTTCTTGGATGGTAACTCAATTGTAACGCCTAATGCTCAGTTACAAAATGGAATTTTATATATAACAAGTACTTGTGCAATCATTTTACTGCCCTTACCACAGCTAAAACCTTCTTTTGGGCCTGATAATATCCTTGTTCACCCTCGTTTAATAGTATCGAAATAAAATTAACGGTCTTAGCATTCTGCTGTAGAACTATACCTAATATCAATGAAGACGCATCTGTAGTAAGGATAGATTTTTCGGTCTGTGAAAGAAGTCTGAGACTGACCTTACTATTTGGATGCAGTTAAGAATCCCTTAATGTTTCCTCGTGTCTTTGCTCTCATACAAATTCTTTACGAGAGACACATTAAAGAGATGATGATAATATTTGTGCAAACTTAAAAATAAATCTGAAATAGAATTGAATGAGATCAATGTACAATCTTAGTGGTGAGATATTCTTAGGTGGTTGTGCTTGAATCATATCAAATTTAAAACCATCTGCATCTACGGTACAACCCAGGCAGTTGACAGAGCTAAGTTGAAACTGACACTTGAGTGGATTTTCGTCCACATATATATCACAGAAGCCTCTGAACAAGTTTAAAAGTTGTTCTTTATGCGACCTAATATTTCCAACATGGGCTTTGGTAGCATCTTTGTTCATTTAGATACCATTAGGACCTGCAATTATCTGATTTTTACCCTTCGGAAATATCTCAAGGAAAACATTTAGCCCGAACGGCCGGAACTTGTATCTGTACAGCCCGAATGGGGCAATAATAGATGTTAGTTCACTCGGGATTCTATCCAGTGGAATTTGCGAATTGTCACCTTCCATGTGTGTTCTAGATTAATGCCTTGACCCTAATAAATAATATAGAGTATCTTCAGTTTCTTTAGCGGTGCAACTCTGTTGAGATAGATCGTACAACAGTAGCCGATAGGTCAAATTAAAGCTTACGGTAAGAGGAATATGAAATATACATATAATCTAGATACTTGATAGTTATCCAGTGGGGATATATGTAATAATAGTTCATAAATAATTTCCGGCAGTTACCATTCATCTATTACCCGTTAGGATAGAACAGGTTTAATACAATGGAATTAACAAGTACTCATCTTTCTAGTCTGTCTTAGAAAAGTGGAAAAGCGTCCTTAGCTTGCTAAGTGGTACAACCGTGTTGCAATAGCCGAGTATTTAGTTTCAGGTGGTAATCACTAGAAGTTCCAAATGTTTTATCTTCCACTTTTAATGGATTTGCATCTTAATATCAGATCTTTGATTTCCTCAATGGAGTGCCAACTATACTAATGATCAGTAGCTGATGGTCAGTGATACTGTGGTGTGAGCTACTTATATTGATATAAGTAGTATATGACGTGCGTTAAAAGGACGTAATGTCCGGCAGCAGAAGATGGCGAAGATCAAGAAAGGAAGAGCAAGAGCACAATGGAATTGTAAGAAAACGCATGTTCAATGGAATGGGAGACAATGGATTAGTGTTTGCAACGGGAACAGTACAGTTTGATATGATGGAATGATATTTTGCAAATTGACGATTGACTTTATGGTATTCACATTTTATTGAGATAATCTGTAATTTTTGTGCTAAATACAATCGATTGTCCGCACCCGTGTTCTTGTTCACTACAATACCAGTTATTGTACTCCTTGTAGGTTTCAAATGAATATCATCATAAAGGAATAACAAATTTCCCGCGGAAATCATTGACTCTATGCTACGAGTTTCAGCAGTAAACGAATAGACCTTGCGTGTGTGAGTAATCAATTTTCGCCTTAAATGTGAGTTGCTACTGCATGTTGCAATAAGTCACGAGTTAATTCTCCTGTCCTAATGAACTGAATCCGACCAAAAAAATTTCAGTGTCCTTATGGTGAACTGTCCAGTTTCTTCATACTTATGGGAACGTGTATAACGAGACCAAAATGAACTATGAAGATTCAGTTTACTACGTGAAATACAGAATTTAATACCTAAAGGACAATTAAAAGAGCTTTCTGAATAAATCACATGCTTCGACGAATCGGAGTAGTTCCTGTTAAAAGTGAGAGACTTCTGTAGTGTAGGAGATTTATTCATGTTTGATAACAAAACATCATGCTGTTTCGTGAACGCACCACCAAAATGTCAACGTGATCATGAGTGAAGCAGAGAACACATTACCTGAAGAGTGCAAGAAGGCATTCGTATAAGCTACTTCTCTAGTTAAGGACCACTGACATGGCTAATCATGCTGTCAGGAAGTTGGATATGCAATCGTTCATGGGAGTCGCATTAAAGCTTGTGCTTTTGAAGCGGTAGTATGAAATCAATTTCAGTAAGTGTACTGGCCAATCAATCCCTGAAACAGATAACACGGTAAGCCTTTGACGTCTATGTTAGCCTCATTATTTTACTGGACAGTTCAGTCAAAGGCACTCTGTCGCGTATCAGTGCCATACCATGGGCAGGCACGAAGTGCTATTCATCCGAACCAATTACCAGCCAGCATAAATCAAACTCTTCTCAGTACATCGAATATCTTCCAAATATGTGTTCGAGCTCATTTACCCTTGACATGTGACCTGGGTGTGTTGGTTCTTCATGAGCATGAACTACTTTGCTGAACTGTAGTCTTTCAAATGTTTTGGATGATGTTACGTGAAAATGATCTATTGATAATCTCTTTAGCTTTTCGGGTGGAAATGAAATAGGTGTTTCAGGATGTAGAAGATTCCTTGACCAATAATACGCTCTTCAACTAAAATGTGTTGAGGAATAACCTGAGATGGTGATTTCAAATAGTTTTACTAATTAAGAACAATTCTAACTAGCCTAGAAATTCGGCAAGGCGCAAGTGAGAAGTCAAACGTCAAATAACCAGAATAAAATAATGTTGCGTTATTATGACAGATTTAAACACGAAATAAGGCATTTAGTTGTGAGGTAAATGTATCTGTTTTATACGCAGCCAAGTTGGCTCGGGGTAGCTAGTAGTTGTGTCAATGACTTACCTAGCTGACAAGCCTTTGATCTATTCAAATATAGTTAGATCTTCATTAACATGCAAATCAAAAAGCTTACTACACAATATGCTGTTATAGCTGTTTCTGTCGGTGCACTCAGGAAACCTTTAAACTAATGGAGAGACCCGAAATGTTGAACTAGTGCGAAGATAACACCCTTCTGGTTCTATCAGATAAAGTTTAAAATAGCTCTACTGAGTTTGGAATTGGACACTGAGGTATTTTCGACACTCCCGGGATTTCGAACGTTTGCTTTGTAAGTGTCTAAAATCATGGTCATTAATTAATGTGATGTGTTCGGTTGATATTAGTCATACTCTCTTGCTCCTAATCGAAACCACTTCAAATCTGTCTGCGATAACCCTCAAATCTACTTGATATCCATTTATTCACACCCGGATTTGTGCATTGAGGACGGAAGGTCTACTACTTGTTAGTCCTTTTTTTGTAAGCTACTGAGTGTCATGTCTCTTCTTGAACAAGTCAATTAAAGGTGAAGACGCAACTTATTTGAGTGACAGGTTCCCAAAATTGATGGCTTGGTGTAAAACCTGCATGCCATGGGTATTTTGTCCGTTATTGGTTTTTGTTTTGTGAGTTGTACTGATCTTGTTGGAAGAAAAAGATAAATCAGGTCCAAAATTATTTTTTAGTAATCTATGTATAAAAATCGTCCCACTTAATCTGCTCTGGGGTACAAGTTTTTCTAACTGTCCAGGTGCCGCTCGTTTATCTCTGCCTCTGTTAATTGTCTCAGTACGATCAGCCAGGTTGAGATACGTACAGACATATTCTGGATCCAGTCAATATAATGCTTCTTTTCTTAGCAGTAGTGAAGGTAATTTTTAAGAGGCTGCTTGCCTGTGTACTGTTGGAATCCATTTTTGGTCCTATTCTGTAAAGCTTATGAAAGCTATTTCCCGTTACTGTTTCCGGTAGTGCCTTGCTTATCAAAGATTTAATACGGCTTGCTTCGTTTTCAAACCCGGCTTATGGTTCCTTTCCAAAGGACTGAGTTTCCTATGACATCTGTCTTGATAAGCTTTGATCGTTTGTTTCCTAAACTCTTCTCATTACCTTTGGCGCCTTCGTGATGTTAGTCTGGCTCTAAAAGGTCGGATCTACAACGCGTCGGTGAGAGCAGTTTCGCTCTATGCTTGTGAAACCTGGCCTCTCCGAGTTGAGGACGTTAGACGACTCTCTGTGTTCGATCATCGCTGTCCGAAGGATTGCTGACATTCAGTGGCAACACCATGTCAGTAATGCAGAGGTTCGGCATCGTGTGTTCGGGCACAGAAATGATAATTCAATTGGTGTCACCATGTTGAAACACCGACTTCGGTGGCTTGGACATGTTCTCCGAATGTCGTCCCAGAGAATTCCACTTCGTGCATTATTTGCCGACTCTGGGACTTATTTATTATTTTATTTATTTGAACACATAAATATTGGTACAAGAGAGCGCCAATATATATGCGCCACACAAAACAATGGGAATTCGAAGAGAAGTAGAAAGAAAAGAAAAAAAAAACTAAGGAACGCAAAAGAAAAAGAGAGTAATGACGAAGAGGTACAATCAGAAGAAATCTTTCAGGTAAAGGAGACACAACCACTTTTTATGAAGAAAGTAAAAGAAGGTTACAGCAGGATCGCCACTGGCTTCTATTCTGAGCCATATCTGATAACGTCTCTAGCCACTGTGTTGCACCATCTCTCGGACCCCAACCAGGGAGTCGTGAAGGACCAACACAAGCCAGTCCTTTGCAGCTTTCTTTCATGCCACGACACCATGTCATGCACTGACCACCTCTCCGCTTCTTCCAACCAGTCCCAGAGTCGGCAAATAATGCACGACGTGGAATTCTCTGGGACGACATTCGGAGAACATGTCCAAGCCACCGAAGTCGGTGTTTCAAGATGGTGACACCAATTGAGTTATCATCTCTGTGCCCGAACACACGATGCCGAACCTCTGCATTACTAACATGGTGTTGCCACTGGATGTCAGCAATCCTTCGGAGACAGCGATGATCGAACACAGAGAGTCGTCTAACGTCCTCAACTCGGAGAGGCCAGGTTTCACAAGCATAGAGCAAAACTGCTCTCACCGACGCGTTGTAGACCCGGCCTTTTACAGCCAGACTAACATCACGAAGGCGCCAAAGGTGACCCAGATTGGCATAAGCCGCTCTGGCTTTCACTATGCGTGCATTGATCTCATCACTCACACCCCCACCAGCACTTATGCAGCTACCCAGATACACGAACTTCTCAACTACGTCTATCTGCTCACCATCCAGGGTGAGTACAGGATTAGAATCCTGCCAGTCTTGTAGAAGTACTTTGCACTTCGAAGGTGCAAAGCACATACCATACCTACGGACATTGATTGCCAACTGATTAAGTGCGGATTGCATGCCTTGGGCATTATCGCACAGTAAGACAATATCGTCCGCATACTCAAGGTCGAGAAGTCTTTCTCCAGGCAACAGATCCACACCACCATTACTTACATTCATCAGAGCTGTTTCCAGAATGTCATCGATGGCAAAGTTGAAGAGGAATGGTGAGATTGGGCAACCCTGCCTAACCCCACTGCTCGAATGGAACAATGGAGAGAGGTGGTTGTATGCCCTCACTCTGCCTGAGGTGTTTTTATACAGGGCTTTTAGGATGTTAATAAACTTCTCAGGCACACCCTTCTTCAATAGACAATCCCAGAGAACAGTCCTATCCAACGAATCGAAGGCAGCCCTGATGTCAAGAAACACTACGATTGTTGGCCTTTGAAAAGTATGGCGGTGTTCTAACATTTGGCGGAGGGTGAAGATATGATCAATACATCCTCGACCAGAACGAAACCCAGCCTGCTCCTCGCGAGTCAATCTTTCTCGGGTTTTGAACAACCTACGAAGTATGACGGAAGCCAATAGCTTGGACGCAATCGGAAGTAAACTTATCCCCCGATAGTTGTTACAAGAACGACGTGAACCCTTTTTAAAGATAGGGACAACTATCGACTCATTCCATGACGTTGGTACACTCTCTAGATCCCAAACCTTTGTAAACAACGTCGTCAATTCCTTAGTCAAAAAGTCACCACCATCTTTAAAAAGAGCCGGAGGTAAGTCATCTGGGCCAGGTGATTTGTAACGCTTCAAGAGTTGGAGTTCCTTGCGGACTTCCTCCTCATTTGGTGGATCAGTCGTCACCGGCCATGGAGGGCAGGACAGTCTGACCGATGTTACCGGAGCAGCAGGCCAGTTGAACTGCCCTTCGAAAAATTCTGCCCATCGTCCAAGACGTCGATGGATGTTAGTGATTGGCATCCCATCATCCTCGCAGATTGTTTCACTCACACCAGACTTCTTGCTGCCAGTGGCTCGGATGAGTTGGAAGAGCTTCCGGTAGTTACCAGATGCAGCTGCTGCTTCCAACTCATTAGCACGCATCGACCACCAGGCTTCTCGGTCCTTACGCAAGCTTTGCCCGATTTCCTTACGTAAAAACCTTCGTTTATGGTCAAACTCACGGTCACCCGGAGTAGACCGACGGGCTTCAATGAGTTGTAAGGAACCAGAAGAAACCCAGTGCTTAAAAGCGGGACGTTTCGCAAACCCACAACTGACTGTTCCCGCCATTTTCATGGCGTCATGCAATTGCAACCAATGCTCATCTATACTTTTCGGTGGAGTGGTAGCTAGCCTAGAGGCTAGCTCGGTTCGATACTTACATGCAACAGAAGTTGCAACCAGCTTGCTGACATCAATCCGTTGATGGCGTTCACTTCGTTGTCCACTGAAAAGTAAGGCAAGATTGGCGCAGACCAAGGCATGGTCAGAGTCCAGATAGGTACTCCAAAAGGAGCGGCAGTCTTGTACACAACCACGCCAGCGGTAGCTGATCGCGATGTGATCAATCTGAGTCCAGGCTTGAGATGCAGAGGGAGGACGCCAGGTGGCACATCGGCGATGACTGTGCCGAAAGTTAGTGCTAGCCAGAAACAGGTTGTGGTCTGCGCAAAGTTGCAGTAGACGGTCCCCGTTATCTGACCTGCGACCAACGAGTCCCCATCGGCCACCTAAACGACTCTCTTCCGTGCCTAGACGCCCGACCTGAGCATTCAAGTCTCCGGCTAGTACTACAATATCTGTCGAACGCACTTTCTGGAGAAGAACTGATAACTGGTGGTAAAACTCATCCTTGATTGCATCCGGGCTGCAATCTGTCGGGGCATAGGCGGAGATGACGAAAAGACATCGTTTCTCACGCCGATTTCTTCTCACTTTGATGGAACTTTCTAATCTAACAGCACATAACCGACTGTTAATGGGGATCCAATCGACTAGTGCTGCCTCAGCTCTGGCGCTTAGTGCGACACCAACGCCAGCAAAACCAGACGAAGATGCCACAGGGTCCCCGGATAAGCGCACGTAAAACAAGCTTTTCGAAGCGACAGATGGAGATCGAATTTGTAGTACATCGCCAGAGTCTTGAATACGGGTCTCGGATAGACAACACACGTCGATATTAAGACTTTCCAAAGACATAGCCAGCCCTATCTGTTGTCCGACCTGCATAAATGTGCGAACGTTGAAGGCAGCCAGTTTGAATGATGCACGTGGTTTCAGAAAATCTGCTTCAGTCCTCGTATTCGGTGGTAACATACAATTTTCAACCGGACAGTGACTCGAGAACGTTTAGATACAGTCGGATTTCCACCAAAGACGAGCCGCTGTATAAGTATAAAAGAAGGTGAATAATGTGGAAAATAATAATAATAATGATAATAATAACAATAATGACAATAACAGTAGTAATAATAATATTAGTATTAATAATGACAATAATTGAAGTGATCATAATTTGAATCAATTGATTGTTTTTCAAAGCGACAAAAGTAGTTTCCATAGACATAAACAGTTCATCATTTGTGTGGTTGGAAGAAGCGGTCTCACTTTTTCCCCTAATGCTCAAGATGCTGCTGTAAACCAATCATTGACTTCATTTTGTTTCCTAATCAAATCTGGAACGTTGAGGCTTTGCTCCTACATGGTTTGTTTTGGGTTGATAAGTGGGGTTTTGTAGTTGAAACTATCGACCCGTACATTAGAGTCCTCTGTAATATGTTTCTTCTTTGCGTGCCTTTCCTTTGTAACCATGCCCAAGTTAGTGTATCTATGTTATAACATCTATTGGTCTCACTAGTGATAAATGGGAGGTGTTTTCAGATAGTTATAAAGGTGTTAAACTATAAAGTGGCTAGGTTTGATTTAAACACTGCTTTTTCCTGTTACAACTTAATTATGGAGCAGTCTACTCTTGATTTCCATCTAATCCTTGCATTCGTCTAAACCATATGGATGCAGCATATCTAATATTTTTGTTACGTGCTTGTATGAGTTGGTTGATTCCTTTGCCATCACTTGTTTCTGTATGGTTCCAGGTCTTCGGTAGTATTGAAAACGCGTTAGTCTAGCCACTCGATTAAACTAATTCTGATTACTTTGATAATAAGTGCGTTTGTCTCAGGGCAGTGGGGATCCTGGATATGGGCAGCTATCAAATTAACAGGCAGGAGGTTGATTGGATGCAGTATAAATAGCAATATAAAGAAAGTCTAAATGCAAGAGAAGACAATTTTTTCAAGAAATAAATAAGTAAATAGTTGGTTGGTAATGCAGACAGTGTGGGAAGACCAGTGTAGGAATAATATAGGACGAGGAAATGATGAGGTAGAAATCCTTGACTAGATGATCATTTCTCAGCAAATCATTAAGTTTGAGGGTTTCCCATCCTCACCTCGTATTGTGGCTTCAATCACCATTCAGAGTGGTTTTATGTGCGACTGAACTTGTGGGCGACACAACGAGATGAGGTAAAGACAGAAAAACCTCAAACAGATTGTTTGCTGACGAAAGATCAGAATTTAGTCAAGGATGTCCGCGTCCACAAACCAAAAGCTTGATCTCATCTCTCCACTTTATGCTAAGACAACTTGGCTGAACCAACCCAGAACTGTAACTAACTCTCTTTAAAGCATACTTATGGCCCCATATTAAAGTCCGTAATGTTGTCCCTCTTTCTCCAAAAGGAACATAAATCACTGAGTTTTGTTTTCATTTTAGAAGACTTCAAAGATGTCAGAAGGAAAAAAAATGCTGCATCCTGAATTCGCTGTTCGTCCAGTAATGTACACTGGGTACGTCGTTTTCCAAATAAGTTGTAATATTCCATACTATATTGATTTTCATTGGAGCACAGGGAGACAATATGTCAATTCAACTCAAAGAGCTGCATGACTTGGTAGCAGTCTAATTTAAAAAACCTCTTGTTTATCTGTATACTAAGTTGTTAGTTATGTCCATTGTTATTTGTACATTACATCTGATGAGACCAAAGTAGGCACATCATTTTTCAGCATTAACCTGTGACTCATCAAATTTAAGTGACTTTAATCATCAAATTGCATCTACATAAGTACTCTAAAAAACTGATGTTTGCGATTTCGAAAAGATGAATTCAACCAAAGTTACCCTGTTTTGGAGTGTAGACTAAATTGCTACAACTTGAAATTTACATTGGCTTCAATTTCTTAATGTATAGTAGATTTTTCAGTCAGTCAGCTACAATGTAGGACCAGTCACATATATGTATCGGTCCAAGTTGCCACACCTCAAGAGCACAGCAAGATGAACACCAAATTCATAGACGTCGTTAATTCAGTGGTGATAATATATAAAGATTGTGTATTAGGACATAGTACAAGAAAAAAGAATTAGTTCGTGGAAGGAAAGATATGAAGCGATTTTAATTTCATCGTTTGAGGGAGGACAAAGTGTGTATACACCTAGGCCATTGTGATCTATTCTGAGCCATGTCACCCGGAGTCTCCGACCACTGGTTACGATAGTCTCGCGAACCCCAACCAAATATTCTACATCTAATATCAGACTAGAAGTTAGTGACTTCGAGCACTGATGCCGCGTTTTGGTTTGGCCGCCCCTAACTTTCTTCCAATCATTCCCAACACCGGTTAGCATTACACATCGTGGTAATCGGTGCTCAGGCATACGCAACACAACACGTGCCCCAACCATATCAGTCGATGATAATTCACAACCTCATCAACTGATTTACCATCATTTCGTAATACCCTGTGTCTAACCTTACTATTACTTACCTGGTGATCCCAGCAGATGCGAGCAATAATTTTCAGTGAATCCTAGTTTTTTCTCACTCATCTTTGTTACGTTCAAGATAAAATTACCACTCAATTACTAGAGATGGTAGAGGATAGTTAAATCTGCAACACGATTTCTCGAAGCACAAACACGAAACCTTACAGAACCATTTAATTTTTTTTTGCATCGATATCTTTTATCTCGAAACTAATTCACTGCATAACCTCTCAGTTTATCTCCGGCTTTGTCATTAGGTTGTGGTGAATGTGTTTATAGTAGGACCCTCGTTTGTGAATCAGTAACTGCTGCATATAACCTAAGATAATATAGTAGTCTTCAGAATTTCGACTCTTATCTACTCTATGTGGTAGTGTACATTTATTGCGAACACAACCCATGGCATCTGTGAGTTAGTGTCAACCTGGAACCTGGGAACAAAGTGCTCATCGGTCCGTTTAACCACATCTCACACCAACACAGCTAGTGAAACTCAATAAGATGGTAACCATAAACGATGTATCTGAAGTAGTTCAAAAGACTCCTTGTATGTTTGTATGCTATTAAATTATTGGAGTAAAAACCGAATATTTCTTATTTCCAAAAGTATCCGCATCCGTTTACTAATTATAAGTTGAGTGACTCACGATTAATTGCATTGTTTGATGACTATAACTTTTCTGTTATTCATAAGGAGAGAGGGATGGTTGCTGGCAATGAAACCAAGGACGCGCGTCTTGTCCTATTGGGAACTTCTTAGCTAAATGTGCCTACATTCTAGAGTTGACATCCACTCCATAACTCTAACCCAGTACCGTTTGCTTCAGCTCATCCCCTTAACTACTAAGTTCAGGTAACCACTGACTTGTGCAATGAGGTCAAGTTTAATTCGTTTGTATTGGTTACTTGAGTCACGGGGTGAGCATCGACTCTGAGATGTAGGTACATCTATCTGAATAGTTCCAAACAGAACGAAATGCGTGTCCTGGATCCCATTGCTAACCACCATCCATTTATGCTTATTATGCTTGTGACCAAGTGAAAATATCAAGACAATCCACACGGGATACACAAATACCAAAAGAGATTATTCAATCACAGTCCTAAATATCAATGGAAAGATCCAAGCAAACAATACATAAGAATTATCTATTATTTGATCTAGCTTATTTATTTCAAGTACTATGACTTGTGGTAAATGATAAAACCTTGAAAATGAAAGGATAAAACTACATGTTGCGTCTGTAAAATGTCTAATGAGGATAGATTTCATGGAGTAACTATTTACAAGTTGGTATATACTTCTCCAAGTCATACTGCAGTGAACGAGAACACAAGTGGAGTCAATCAAATGTATAGGAATACAAAATTACAAAACATCTTGGTAAAATCTGAGAATCATAAAGTAAATACTTTATTTGCAAAGTCTCAATTAATTGTCTCAAACTTGACTGTTCCTTTTGCAAATATCAATCAATTGTCTAAGACTTCATTGTTTTTTCGTCTCCATATCAATCGTTTACCGTTCTTATTCTCTTCTCTTCGTTCTTTTTAATATTCTGCCACCAGACATTTCACTTTCGATTGATGATACATACTACTTATATCGATTGACATCAGTAGCATACACCACAATACATTTAAAATCTATGTAGTTCTAAATTAATTACATCTGTTTATTCTTATTTATTTATTTGAACATATGAATATTGGTACAAGGGGGCAACAGATACGTATGCGCCACATAAATCTCATTTGATTTGTGTGAGGGCTGTGATACTGCCCGTGTGCCCAGATCGAAGCACGTGGTTTTCTTAGGGGGTCACACTTAAAGCCTTCGACCTGAAGGTCTGATCTACAAGGCAGTGGAGCAACGTCAGGAGATACAGTCCCACGGTAGCCGGTCACCAACGATTGGTTCATACGCCATTTGTTCGATCCTGGAACCCATGTACACCATTAGCTTGGAATGAGGGTTGTCCAACTCCCTTTGGTGAATCCTCCATATGCACCAACCCTGTTTAAGCCCCCCTGCCAGACATTCGCCTTTCGTTTTCTCAGTTTCGTAAACAACATTAATGCCGCGAGAAGGAAGTGAGGACTTCCCTCTCAGTGGTTGTATGCACGTGGCCGTGTGAGAGCATTTGGAGTGGGAGAAATGACTCTCTCACTCACGGCCGTATTTGGGCAATTGCATCTGTGCTGAGAATTAAATACTTGGGTCACCTAATAAAAGTCCTTTCTGGAAATCTATTAATATACTGTACTTTTTCTTAAGTAGAAAATGTTTTATCAACCAATTTTAAGGACCGTTTTAATCCTCAAACTAAGGAAATAATCTTTAAGACAGATTTCTTATTATTTATTACTACATAACAATGTTTTTGTAACTTAACGAACATTTACTCGATTACAAATGATTGGCGTGTAACTTTGTATCGGTTTTGGTGTTTTCTTATTTATGTGTCTATAACAGTTTAGGCGATGTAATTGGTTCTACTGTATGGTCAAGTGAACAAGCATCATCATTGGCTGCAATTCCAGGATCTAAAGTGGCAGATTCAACTAACTTTCCACACCCGGTAGCTGAATCTCTTGCAAAATTTGGTAAAGCAGCTGAAAAAGCTAATAGAATGAGAGTTTTAGCTTCTGCTCAAGGTTTACATGCACCATTACGTTTATCTATGGAACAACGTATAATGCAACGCATTCAACCTCGTCTACCTGGTTTATATTCTTATCATCCTTTGGCTAGTCAGCTAAATGGAAGTTTAGATGAGATTGATGTATCTGACTTTATTAATCGTAAGTAGATTTTGTTTGGTAACATATTGATTTGTCTTTTGTTTTTCCAAATGTCATCGATACCATTATTGATACAATGGAAATTTACTGGTGTTTCTAACCTTCATATATGTTATTACTGTATAAAATTGGCATTGTCTTCCATTTATTTCATATCACAACTGTATTTATTCTTTGGTCATCCTAATGTTTCGAATTGACGAACTAATTAATGTATATGAAGAGTCATGATCGGTAAGAGTATATTCCTACGTTAATATTATTCGATTATCGGTGTCTTCAAAGCATTGCTCGTATATCCTGGGACCACCGGGTTAGTAATGCAGTTGTTAAGAAACGGGTACTAGGTAAGTGTTGGGATATTTTTCTGAATATCCCAACACCTCCCTTTTTTTTGAAGATCCAGAGTTGATATCCGGATTTTAAACTTTTCGGCGTCCATCCTCCCCCGCGAAATAATTTCGGGTTCTCATAAACCCAAATTACAATTAATTTGACTGCATTTAAAACATATTGAACAGGGAATCCAGTAAGACTGACCAGATAGTGAGGATAAACGCCATTCAATTCGAAGTCATCAGAGTTTGGATCTTCTGGAACATTGTCATCGAATTTCTTGAAAATCTCATTAGTAGATAATTGACCACTGGGATAATCAGCGTGCGACAAAACTGCGCCAGGTTCTTGACTATTATTTGATGCATGTGACATATTTTCTGGCAAAACGAGGGGATCTTCTTGTGAGCTGGATACCTCACTGTCTGTACATGTTTCAGGGACAGTAGGATTTGAACCAACGACAGGGCATGTTTCTGAATTGGATATTTCTGGACCACTGGGCGGATCATGACTGGCTGCTGTGTCGTTTGAAATACGATTTGTCGAGGATTCATGGAGGCTGCAATCATTTTCCAGCTCACTGTGCAATTGAGGAATCAACCCATCTACTTCCGTCGTATCTCCAAAGCATGGGTGATTCAGCAGCTGCGTGCGGAATTTGACTAAGAACTCCAAATGTCGTTCAAGTAGCAGCTGTAATCGATTGGAAGGGAGAGTTTTTTTTAAAAATCAGCACCGGCAATCAAAATTACTGTATGAATAATGACCAATGTCGTTCAAAGTCACTGATGACAGTCTGGATACTGATTGGTCGAAATAATTAGACTGAATTTCGTCCACTTATAGACTGACCTTGAAGATTGAGGGTTCAAGATTTTTTCTCTACCCTGTTGCTGCTACTACTGCTAATGAGATTTTCAAGAAATTCGATGACAATGTTCCAGAAGATCCAAACTCTGATGACTTCGAATTGAATGGCGTTTATCCTCACTATCTGGTCAGTCTTACTGGATTCCCTGTTCAATATGTTTTATATGTAGTCAAATTAATTGTAATTTGGGTTTATGAGAACCCGACATTATTTCGCGGGGGAGGATATTCAGAAAAATATCCCAACAATTATCCTGTTAAGTCTAATGGTGTCCTTGGACTTCAAATGGACATTTCCTTTTTGGCCAATATTTATTTCACTTGTCAAATATTGTACAAATTTTGTTTTCTATTTTATGGTACGATGTGGTCTGCTTGATTGGTATATAAACAGTGTGTTTGAAATATATTGATTCATATCTCAGAGGCTGACTTGCGTTCTGGACTCAACTGGCTTGGCTAGACAGGGAAGCGGGGTCAATCAGAACTCTAGGCCGTCCTAACGTGTCTGACGCGTCTTTGGATCGATCAGTAATTCGCTAACCTCCAGTCTGCAGCACCTTCATGTTACAACAGTAAGGATGGCAAATCAATTGGTGAATTAATTGAACTTCATCAATTGAGATGGCTGGGACATGTATTACTTATGCTCAACCACCGAGTGCTCCGATGTGCGATGTTTTCGTGTGTAGGAGTAGGTTGGAAGAAAGCTAGGGACGGCCAAACCAAAACATGGCACAAATCCATGATGTCACTGATAAGTGGACTGAGCCATGTTCTTAAGTGTAGACTAATCACCTGGTTGGGATCCACGAGGCGATAGCAATCGATGGTTACAGACCTTAAACGACATGGCTCAAAATCATTTGCAATGGTGCAGGTGCATCCACTCTTTGTGTTCTCTCAAATTCTATTCTCAATTCTTCATGTCCCTTATTTTCTTTCCAAATTTGTTTCACTGGATTATACTCCTTGAATAACATCTTCAAACCCTAATGTTTACGATTATTGCTTATACTCTTACTATCTCTACCATTACGGAATTTGAGTCGACAATTGTATCACTGTTATGATGTATCATGGCAACTCGAACTAATGTACGTACGTACGACGTTTTACGTTGTTACTGACTGACTGATATGAACACTCAACATTTCTCCAGCACTCATTTATACCTGACAAAAAGAGAAATTATGTTGAAGTAGTGACCAACCAATTGATATTTAACTGAAGGATTTGTATTATTGTCTGATGAGTGTAGTGTTTATGACATTTATTTTTTAAACACAAATATTGGTACAAGCAGGCGCCAAATATATATGCACTACACTTCGTCGTTCGATTTGTGTGTGTAGGAAGGAGGGGTTAGAATATTTCCCAGATGCCCAAACTAAAGCAGGTGTTTTTTTAGTAGACCACTCCCAAAGCATTTCACTTAGAGGTTTAATCCACAAGACAGTGAAGTCATGTCAAGAGATGTAATCTCATGGTAGCCAGTGACCAACAATTGGTTCATGCTCCATTTGTTCCTTTAAGATCCTGGAGTTCATGTACACCATTAGTTTGGAATGAGGGTTTTCCAACTATGCTTGGTAGATCCTCCGTATCCACCGACCTTGTTAGAACATCGAACATTCGCTTTTCTTCCTCAATTCCATTTCTCTCCACTCTCGAGCGTGCGAGGACATTCGGGGGCATAATTCTCAGTGTTTCCACAATCCATTATCTGTAATGGCTGATGAGTTTTCGTAAAATCTATAGTTTTAAAAAATTCTCATCACATTTCAGTGTTTATTAAGGCGAACTACTAACTATTATAAAGAGTGAAACACGAAAACTATCTCGTCAATTTTAAGAATCATTTGGCAACATGCTTCCTCTCAACTTTCGGGGTTTCTTTCATGTTGTGAAGTTAAACCTGTTGGTCTCCGGAACAAAACGTTTACTGGAAAACTTAAAATTATGGTAAGATGATGAACTATAATGTGCTACTGTTGCTTCTTCTCAGTAATTCTTTAATCACTGTCAATCTCTCTACATACATTTGTAATCGATCACATGTATAACTTAAATCGTTACTTTATTACCATCCTTCTTTTTGTTTTTCAGCTGCGGAAGATTCTGAATCTGTTGGAATGCCCCAATTAATGATAGAGCATAAACTTGGTCTTTTGTAAATGACAATTGGTTTTCTCGAATTGAATGGAACAGTTAGTCTTTCTTGAAACTATTATTACAAAAAAAAACTAATAACATATATTATACTACCATCTTTGTAAGAAATAAACATGTCAATTATATTTTTTAACATCCAATGTTGTTCATGTCTGACTTCATGATCTTGCACAAATCTTTATTCATTGTCTGAGATGTGTAACTGTCGCACACTCGACACGGATTGAACTCCACTGGTCGCAGCTTCTCACTAGAACTCCAAGAAATCCATCTTGAAACTAGTCACTAGTGAGCACATGATTATTATCCCTATACTAATAAGATATATGTTTATCATGAATAATGGTTATATTCTCTACTGTCTTGCGTATGTATCTGTGCATGATAAGGTTAATTTAATCGTATAGAAGGATTAAATCAGAGGTCTGAAGAGTTGTTGAACACACGAATTACTTATGCCTGTTACCCCTTATGATGGAGCATAGGCCACCTATCAGCATTCTTCACCCAACTCTGCCCTGGGCAATCCTTTCCAATTGTATTCGTTCCTTTGATGTCTGCTTCCGATTCCCGACACAATATATTCCTTGGTCTTTCTCTTTTCCTTTTCCCTTCGGGATTCCAAGTTAGCACTTGCTTCGTGATGTAGTTTGATAATTTCCGTAATGTATGTCTTATTCACCTACAGAGTGTTTCTTAATTTCCTCTTCAGCTTGAAGATGGTTTGTTCTCTCCCACAGTAATCTGTTGCTGATGGTATCTGGCCAACACCACCTGTAGCTCTTTTAGGTTTACTGCCGGCCCGGGTTGGGCGTGAGGTCAGCAACGCCATCCCGTATAAGACAATCTTGCTAGAAAACGCTAACCAGAATAAATAAATGAATCGCTTAAGAAACATTCGTTTTACATGTGTTACTGTTTAGATGCTAAATGGATGGCTTGATCATAAAATAACTAGACAATTTCGTAATTGGTATTTTGACGAAATCCTACCTTTTTATAAATCACTTGGTCAAATGTAGCTGTATTAGATGTACAAATGAATACTTGTTAACTGAAATTCAAGTCGAAAACTACGTGTATTGCCGAGTCAGTTGAAAAAATCAGTGAATATATCCTAGATTGAGGATGTAGAAATAGGTCGGAATATTGCAAGTAAGTTCCTTACGATTGATGTCTATTATGGCTGTTCATCGACTAAGGTGGCTGGAACATGTGTTACGTATGTCCAACCATCACCTACCTCGACAGACAATGTTATCTGCTGTAGAGAAATAAGTTGGAAGGAAGTTAGGAGCGGCCAAACCAAGACGACTATATTCCAGGTAAGATTTTAAGTAATGAAGTTGGTAATGTCATTCTGGATTTCCTTACGGATGATACGAAGAAAGTTACTACACATACATCAGATACTCCAAGACTACACTGAAAAACTATCCGGATAAATAGAACATAAGGAGCCAACTTATGGTTCTGAAAACGCAAGACACTTCTTTCAGTGTGTTCAATTTTAAATAAGTCACTCAAATTCATCCGGCTACCAAGTTTGAACACTGGTTGGTAATGTTGACAGACGCTTTTAGTGTCCAAGATCATTGGACAGTTGAATTCAACTATCAAAATGCTTTGTCACAGTGTTCCAGTCATTTTCTTAATTCTAATGGAATAGTGATATTGAGAAATAGTCTACTATTTTGACATTATAGTACAATGCTTCTTGTAGTGATATGTTGGAGAAGTTACACGCTAAGACATGTAAAATGTGGAGAATAGTTCATAAATGCTCAATAACTTAACTTATAACAAACTACAATTTTTATTTCAGCACTGCGAGTTAGTGTATCCGGGATAATTGTCCAAATGCTTCAAAGTCAAACCTTTGATTCTTTACTTTCAGCCAACATAAAATTGGCTATCAGGAGTTGAAGATGTTAACTGCAAAACTGATTTCCAAGCCCCATTCCGTAAACGGATGCATCCATTTCCATTAGGTAGCGAAAACAACCTTCTGCATATCCTGTTTTTCATGTAGCTCATAGTGAACATGTGTTTTACAATACTCAGTTATGCTGTACTGCATAGTATCTCGAACCTAATTGCTAATCTGATGTGGTGGCGTTGAGCTTACACACCGTGTCAACCTGATCGAATCACATTGGTTGGAATACGTTACTTCAGGTGCTACCATGCTAGATAAGTGTCAGTCGGAGAAAGGCAACATGAGCGACCAACTTAAAGCTTGAGAGTAAATTGTTTTCGGGACGTGTCTTCCGCCCTCGTACTTCACTTAACACTCGTGATCACCTTGATTGATTACTTGGTAGCTTTTGATTCCCATTCAAAGTGGACTAAAATTAGACTGTACTATTAAGAATGGCGAAATCTTTATACAGTGTTAGTTAGGTTTTTCGATGGTCTGGAAACTATAATTCATTTTTGACAACGGTCCCAGTTTACATAACAATTCTTTGTCTATTTTTGCTACCGATACCTCATGAACCATATACATTATCTTCCATTCCAAATAAAGTCGACATAAGAAGTCTGGAACTCGACAGGATAAAAGTTTTATAGTTTTGCAGAGATTTTATTGGTGTAGAAGAATAATTGCTAATCTGTGATTTACTTACAATGCTAATAGCCCCCCTTAATGCCCTGGTATGGTCGAGGGTGGAGAGAATTAACTTTCCCTCTCGAATTGCTCACACATGTGCATACAACCACTGCCAAGGAAGTCCTACTCACTGCCTTCTCACTTCTGGAGTGTTGCTTACGACATTGAGAGGACGAAAAGCAAATGTCTGGTGCTTTAACGAGGGTAGGTGGTTACGGAGGATCAAATTAATGTAGTTGGAAAACTCTCATTCCAAACTAATGGTGCACATGGACTTCTGGATCCTGAAGGAACAAATGGAGCATGAACTTACTGTTGGCCACCGGTTACCATAAGACTACATCTCTTGATGTTGTTCCACTGTCATGTGGATTAGATTTCTAAATGGAAGGCTAGAGGTTTGACCTCCTAAGATAACCACCTGTTTCGGTTTGGGTATCCGTGCAGTATTCCAGCTCTCAGACAAATCGAATGACAAAGTGTAGCGCATATATATTTTTGGCGCCTGCTTGTATCATTATTTATGTTTGTTATATCCCGTCGAGAATAATAATGAATGGTAACTGTTGTGATCTATTTATCGACTAATCCTATACCTTTTTTATTGTATAATTGTTAAGTAACTAAACTATACTTATTCACGTTCCTATTATTATAAGCATTATTTTGACCTAAAGACTATTATTATATGATTTACGGTTCTTGAGTTATGCCCAGTTTATCAATTATTATCCTATATTCACAGCCACTTTTGGCTAGATCTTGTACAAATATTGTTCCCTATTGTGTGGTACGATGTAGTTTGTTTGGCTTGTATGTTTGGAATACTTCATTTATATTGCATAGGCTGGGATTGGTTTTCTGAACTCAACAGGCAGAGCTAGGAAGAAAGAAGGACCAATAAGGACTCTAGACTGCTCGTACAGGTTTATGCGTCATTGGTCCGTTTGATAAGTCACTGTTCTCTGACTGGCGGTATCATTACGTCATATATATATATATATATATATATATATATATATATATATATATATATATATATATATATATATATATATATATATATATATATATATATATATATATTAATAGAGCACAAGTATACAGAGGATTCACCTAGGATAGTTAGAAAACCCTCATTCTAAATCAATGGTGCACATTAGACCCCAAGATCTTGAGGGAACAAATCGCGTATGAACCTATTGTTAGTCACTGGCTTTCATGAGATTGTATCCCTTAATGTTACTACACTGTCATATGGATTAGATCTCTAGATGAATGACTCTGGCTGTGGATCTGGGCAGTATTCCAACCCCTCCCTCATCATACACACAAATTGAATAACGAAATGTAGCGCATATATATATATATACTTGGCGCCTACCTGTATCCATATTTCTTTGTTTAAATTGATCAACACAAGGTCACAAGTTTGTAATAATATGTTTAAATATGATAAAATAAATAGTGACAAAATCAAATGATTTAATATATTGTTTTGTTTTAATGAAACTATTATTGATTATATGTTTCACCGAGTAGTACACATAATGTTCGACGATAATCACCAGATGTATCATCTATTACTGCATTCAATAATGATTTACCATAAATTGATTCATATGAATTCATTATATCTTGAAGATCAATCTTGGTAATGTATTGGAAATCATTTCAGTGTGTGTGTGAGAGAGAGAGGGAGAGGTAAACAAAGAAAAAGAATAATTTATTTTTATGGAATTAATCGAATGTACTTTTAAAAAAGTTAAAAAATGGATTTCAGCGAAGAGATCGTCTGATCGCGTCTATGTACATCTACCAGTTTACCTGCTTTTGTGGAGCAAGGTACATTGACCTTAGCCAGTGATCACTTTCAACATAGATACGGGAACATATCCTAGTTTTATTCTATAAAGGTGGTAGGAAAGCAGTTATGAGTTCCATACTTGAACACTTAATCAATTTTAATCATTCTATGGATCCATAATTTGATTTTAAGGTTGGAAATATGATTCGTTCAAATTTATCTAGATTTCTTCGTATTCAACTCCTGAACATAACCAAAGCTCTTACTATCTATAAACTCAAGGAAGAACTATACGTACAAAAGAGGTACGTCCTATCGTTATCGTTACCATGGCCTTAATTATTATTATAATTACTGCGTCCCCCCTTTTACTTATGTCTCATATTGTCATTATTTCATTCATAAGTACTCATGATATCACATTACTTATTTATTTACACCTCTATGACCCTTATCGACTTTCAATTAATGTAACATAAACATTTTATCATCATCTTACTACATTGACGTTATAATTCGTTACTGATTTACTAAGTCTATTGTTATTTCAATGGTTGAGATAATGAGTCAATTGAAGCTAGACCTGGAAGCAGCGGACGATCGTTTTATCCTATTGTAGGACTCCTCAGTAGTGCGCATATGAAATTCCGCACTCAGGACTCGAAACTAGAACCTACCGGTCTCCAGACCATTGATCCGGCATCAACCAATCCACTAAATTGTGTCACCGTCCACTATCGTCTTCAATGAGCTACTCTCTTATAACAAACTTGGTCTTGGGTTCAAATCTTGTGGGTCGGGATCGTAGATGCGCACTACTGCGGAGTCTCGTACCAGGTTTCTCATGGTGATCTAACTTGGTTCATGAATTCAGCTTTTCTGATCGTTCCATCATGCAAATGAAGCTAATATTAATGGCAGTTTAAATAATCTAATCAATCATATACTATTCTCCTTTCTTCTATGCTATTCGTTTCATTAAAACAACATTTTACAAATAGTCTAAACTTACCTCAGAACGTGTAATTAATAAACGCATTAATGCATAATCTTTTGTTCCTAAACCAGCCATTGAATCATGTAACCATTCAGCAATTAGACCGGGACGATCGATTGCATATCGTACTAAGTGTGAAGAGTGAATCAACAAACAACAATGATAGAACTTTATGTATGATATCAAAGAGATGATTAGTTTACTTTCTTATTGAAAGTACAAATTAAAAGTCAAAATAGCTGATTAGTTTACATATTTGAAGAACATGAGTGCTTCTAGTTATTGAACCTGGAATCAAAACAATTATCACTCGTTTTTTACTACTGTGGTGTTTACTACTTATGTCGACAGGTATAAGTAGTATGTATTATCAATTAAAAGTGAAATGCCTGGAGGCAGAAGGTTGAGAAAATCGAAAAGAGAATGGGAACAGAAAGTGATTGGTATAGAGATGAACGAACAACAAAGTCGGAGAAAATTGAACGTATGGTATTCACATTTTTAATGGATTGTAAACATAGACCAATCATTCTAAATGGGTATGGTAGTGGCTAGCAGTGGGATCCAAGACCCAAGTTTCGTCCCGCTTTCATTACTCATCAGCTGGGTGTATGTGCATCTCAGAGTTGATGCGTCCTGGATTCCACTGTTAGCCACTGTCCATCTCTCCTTATATGGCAATCCGCATAGGGTACATAAGTGCCAATGAGAAGATTCAAATAACCAATACCAAAATGGAGTAAACCAAAGACAAACATTTCAGCTTAGCAAAGCTTAACTAATGATCTGATCTATTCACTAATTAAACAGAAATAAAATATCAATCAGTAGTGGTCTTATCATCACGGATGCTTTTTATCTCACTAAATCAATAACATTCAACAAATCATTTCAAACTTTTCAACGAAGCCCATCCAAATATCTAGTTTACTATGGAACATGGTAATGAAAACAAGTTCCATTTTCTCATTAGGTATCGCTTTCATGTTACCACTAACAGTGTATATAAATTTACATGTATCTGCCAAAGCGGTTACATTGGTAGAACAAAAAGGAGAGCCCTATGTCCGATTCAAAGAACATATTCCGAAACGTTTAAAGTCAAATTGATTAAAAGCATTCAGCATTGTCATCTCAAGACATCTCCTTGACACAAGGTGTGAAATCGATACACTGAATTCTTTCAAGGTGAATAATAAACAATCAAACTCCAATCTTTTGAAATTTTTCAATTGAGATCATAAATCGATTGATGTTAGACCACCATGGAAGACCTGGAAGCACTGGACGGCTATTTTGTCCTAATGTGGAACTCCTCAGCAGTGTTCATACACGACCCCGTTCGTGGGATTCCAACCCAGGGCTTCCAGTTTCACGCGCGAACGCTTAACCTACTGGACCACTGAGCCGGCGTTCAACGGTGTTATTGTCTAACTTCAACCAATCCACGAAATTTCGCGACCATCTTCGACTGTACTGAGGTAGATATCTGTCTCTATCCGACACGGATTAGTTCCACTGGTCACAGCTTCTCACTAGAACTCAGAGAATTCCCTCACGAAGCTAGTCAATAGTGAGCACATAGTAATTATCAGTATTGGATTGTAGAGATTATTAAGTTTTTAATTGAGATCATGAATCGATTGATTTTAGAAATTTGCCGAAGTGGTAGCGATCAAACGTCCAAAACCAGATCTATGTACCCAAAAAAGAGACAGTAATGAATCTTTGTCCTTCTCTTATGTATATGTATGTTGTTTCTGGCAAAACTTCTAGTGAACACTGATTGGATAAAATGCTTCTTAGTATTTCCTGAGCCTTTCTTGGCTTTTACGAGTTTTCTGGATCATCCCAACGCTTTTTAACAGTCGATAAAAAATCCACCATTGTCTGCTGTAAGTTCTGAATATTTATTAAGTTCATGTAACGATCTAAGCTAGAAAACGTCTGAGAAACTGAAATCCCGATGTTCACTCGAGACTACAGAGCAAATCGTGGTCCTTGGATCAAAGCACGTGTGGTTGGAAGACTAGGCCAAGTTATGTACGAGGTAAAGGTGGGAAGAGACACGTGGACTAGACACCAAACATAACAAATAATTATTTACTTCTAGCATAGAACTCATCGGTAGTGCGGACACACTACCCTAACGCAACAGTTTGTATCCAGGACCTTTGGTTTAGTGATAAAGTGTGATCCGTAGAGTTTAAACGTGTCGTGTGCCAAGGAGTTACCCAATGAAAACAATAGAATATGATCTCACAATATTGTAAATTGATTAAAGTTAAACTTATACATGATTGTATTCTGGCTCAGTAATTTAGAGGTCATGAGTTTGCGGACGATATTGAAGGTCAGGCGTTCAGTCTCCAGTGATATGGTTATGAAGGTGTATTTCTGATGAGTTCCATACTAGGACAAAACAATAGATCAGTTCTTTCATATTTTCAATGGTTATCCAATTTAGATCAATTAACGATCTCAATTTTTTTGGTTAGCGTTTTTTTAGTGAGTTAGTTTTCTACGGGATGGGGTCGCTAAACTCATGTCCAACCCTCCCCCTTTATCCGGGCTTGGGACCGGCAGTATCCCTCTGAGGTACTCCAGGCGGAGTAGTAGGTCTCAATATACACAACGCGAAAAGCAAGATTCTTCGATACAACACAACATGCACCGATCCAATCACAATTGACGGAGAAGGTTTAGGAGATGTAAAGTCCTTTACATATTTGGACAGGACACATATTGAGGAAAGCACCCAACTGTGTCACAAGACAAGCCCCCACATAGAATCCTCAAGGCCAAAGGAAAAGAGGAAGACCAAACAACACATTGCGCCGGGAAATGGAGATAGACATGAGAAGAATGAACAAAAATTGGATGGAACTAGAAAAGAAGGCCCAGGACAGAGTGGGTTGGAGAATGCTGGTCGGCTGCCTATGCTCCATTAGGAGTAATAGGCTTTAGTAAGTAAGTAATGATCTCAATAAATTTTTAACAATTTCCATGACTACATAACGACGATTACAAATTTTTATTCAAACATCAATAGTAATAAATCTATCTTTTGAACTTACAGATAGCAACAAGAAGTTTACGATAATCACCTGATGTCTCTGATTCAATGTGTTCCAATAAAGTTTTACCATACATCTAAAATAATAGAAGGAAATAAACTTCAATTTAAACTAAACATCAGAAGTCTTTCAACGAAACATTAATCTTATACTCACTAGTGATTGTCATTTAAGGTAGAAGATTTGACTGAACATCTCTGTGAAACTCCATATTCGAACAATACAACTATTCAAATGTTTTCTAGATGATATCATTATCACTGGTTGAAATCATGAGTCAATTGAAGCTACACCACCATGGAAAACCCGGAAGCACTGGACGGCTGTTTCTTCCCAGTATGGGACTCCTCAGCAGTGAGCATCCACAATCCCGCACCCCGCGGGATTCGAACCCTGGACCTATCAGTCTCGCGCCAGGCACTTAGCCAACTATACCACTGAGACGGATAGGTCCCGGGTTCGGCGAGCGGGATCGTGGATGCGCACTGCTGAAGAGTCCCATACTGGGATGAAATGACCGTCCAGTGCTTCCGGGTTTTCCATGGTGGTCTAGCTTCAATTGACTCATGATTTCAATCAGTGAATTTTCTAAAATCTTCACAAAACCCCTTCTGATATCATTATGTAACGAAACATTCACTTCATATTAAAAATGATGGTTTCGTTAGATGTATCATTTCAGCAAGAGTATAACTGGTGCACAAACCAATCAGATTTAAGATAGCAGGTCTTGGATTTTAGCGGGAAACTCATTCACTTATTTGGATAAATAGGGTTTTGATATTTTAGTTGATGTCAGTTTGTGAGGATAACATTAAATCTAATTCCTAACGTTAGCGTTCAACTGTGAATCCTAATCATAGTTCCTCACATTAATCTATAACTCTCATTTATTTATTTATTTAAACAAATTAACGTGGGTGCAAAGAAGCACCGAACACATATGCGTCACACGAATCACTTGATTTGTGTATGGGTTGTGATACTACTCGGGTGCCCAGACCGAAGAAGGTGGTTTTCGTAGGGGGCAACATTCAGAGTTTTCGACCTAAAGGTTTGATCCACAAGGCAGTGGAGCAACGTAGGAAAATGCAGTCCCATGGTAACTGGTAACCAATAATTGGTCCGTACGCCATTTGTTCCTTCAGGATCTTGGAGTTCATATACACCATTGGTTTGGAATCAGAGTTTTCCAACTCCCCTCGATGGACTCTCCGTGTCCACCAACCCGGTTCGAGCACCTACTGGACATTCAAATTTTCGTCATCTCAATTTCATAAACAACACTTCAGTGGCGAGAAGACAGTGAGTAAAACTTCCCTGATAGTGTCTGTATACTTGTGGCCATATGAGAGTATTTCGAAGAAGATACACGTCAGTTATTCAGATTTATGAAGATCTAATTATCCTACAATCAAAAATACTCAGATGTCATATTCTTACTAGAGAGTGTGAGATTGCCAATAAATTCAACTATTCGTAGGTAATTCTAATCAAGCAAATATTCTTCTCAAGATGTCAACTGTCTTTTATAAAATTGGGTTAACCAGTCATTTGTAGATTAATGTATTGATGTTAGACCACCATTGAAAACCTGAAAACACTGGAAAACTTTCATCCTATTGTGAAACTTCTTAGCAGTGCGCATCCACAATCCCGCTAGCAGGTTTAGGACCCAGAGCCTTCGGTCTCACAATCGAACGGTTAACACCATTGGATGCCGGCTCAGTGGTCTAAAAATTAAGCATTTGCGCGTGAGACCAAAGGCTCTGAGTCCGTATCCCGCGCACTGCTGAGGAGCCACACAATAGGTCGAAACTGCCGTCCAATGGTTTCAGGTTTTCAATTATGATCTAACCTCAATCAGTTTATGATCTTGATCAAAAACTTAATCATCTTCACAACCCCACAGTGATGAATCAAATTCATTGAATGATCTAATTAGATATACTTACCTGTACTAAATAAATCGGTAATTCATAAATATAATAAAACTTACTTTGAAATAGATTTCAGATGTTAAATATAATTGATATGGTGTTCTATTGCATATAACCCGTGTAATACGTTTTTCACTAGTACCAACTCGACTTTATAGAAAAAATAAAGAAATACATTTTTATCAGTTTAGGGGTTGTGGAGATTGTTAAATTTTTTTGATTGAGATCATGAGTCGATTGATGTTAGACCAACATGGAAAACCTGGAAGCACTGGATGGCCATTTCGTCCTATTGTGGGACTCCTCGACAGTGCGCATCCACAATCCCGTTCGCGGGTTTCGATATTAACATCATTGGATGCCAGCCAGTTCAGTGGTCCAGCAGGTTAAGCAGTCGCGCGCGAGACTGAGGGCCCTAGGTTGGAATCCCGCGAACGGGCTCTTGGATGCGCACTGTCGAGGAGTCCCACAATAGGACGAAACGGCCGTCCAGTGCTTCCAGGTTTTTCATGGTGGTCTAACATCAATCGGTTCATGATCTCAATAAAAAAATACATTTTTCTTTATTTAAACCTAACGCTATGATGACGCTCATCATTAAAAAACAATTACAGTTTACAACATTAATCAACAGCTATTGGATTCGAATATGGAATTTGTCGGCGGTACTCATCGACGACCCTAACGGTGGTCTCGTAGTTAGTGGTAAACCCTTCTAACATTGAGTTGTCTGGTAATAGTTTAATAATTTCTATAAATACACGATATTATGTAATCATCTTCCAGCACCTTTGTGGTGTGTTCTACTGATGTCGATAGATATAAGTAGTATGTCTGATCAATCGAAAATGAAATCCATGGAGGTAGAAGTTTATGAAGATCAAAAAGAAGAGAACAAGAACAGAGAATGATTTCTATGGAAACAAAGGAACAATGAAGCCCAAGACGGTTGATTAACATTTTACGAATGAAGTATTGTACTGTATAGTTCTCAAATTGTACTAAGACATTCTACAATTGTGTATTCAAGTATATTTGATTATCCCCAATTTTGTACTCGTTCACTACACCATTAGTGTGTAACTGCGTTATACTTGATCGATCTAATAAATACCGCTGGTTATAGCTTCTCACCAAAACTTTCAGAATCACTTCTTGAAACTATTCACTAGTTAAGACGTCACTGGAATGATTTACAGTAACAAACTAACATTATGGTAGTGATGACCTTTGTTATCATCCCCAGAGTCACCAGGTAAGTCTTAACTTGGAATTCTGAAGGGAAAAGTACAAAAAGAAGATTAAAGAATTAAAAGGATAAATAACAATTGAAAAAGATTGCTTAGAACAAAGTTGTTTCGAGAATCTTGATGGGCAAACTATGCTTCCCCACGAGGGGTAACAAGCATAAGTATATAAGTTAGTAAGATAAGATATTGGTGAATTAATACTGAATGAACGAGAACACAAGTGGGGACAACCAAATGTACTTCTATACATTAGAGAATGTTTTTTTATAAAATCTGGGAATCATAAAGTAAATACTTTATTTGCAAAATACCTATCAATTGTCCCTTCGTTTCCCTAATAATCATTCTCTGTTCTTGTCCCCTTTTCTTCGATATGCTTAACCTTCTGTCACCAGGCATTTCACGTTCGATTGATGATATGCATACTACTTATATCTGTTGACATCAGGAGTACACGCCATAATAACACCGAGTTACGACTTTATTGAAATCTTATTGATTTAGGTCATGAACCGATTGATGTTAGACTACCACCTTTGGAAACCTAGGAGCACTGGACGGCCGTTTCGTCCTATTGTGGGACTCCTCAGGAGTGCGCATCCACGATCCCGCCCCCTGAATGCCCTGGTACGGCCGAGAGTGGGGAGAGTCCGCTCTCCCTCTCGAAATACTCTCACACGGCCACGCGTATACAGCCTCTGCCAGGGAAGTCCTACTCATTGCCTTCTCGTGGCGGGGGTGTTGTTTACGAAAATGAGAGGACGAAAAGCGAATGTCCGGCGCTTTAACCGGATTCCAAATCAATGGTGCACATGGGCTCCAGTATCCTGCGGGAACGAATGGCGTATGAACCAATCGTTGGTCACCGGCTACCATGGGACTGCATCTCCTTACGATGCTCCACTGCCTTGTGGGTTAGACCTTTAGGTCAAAGGCTCGGGAAGTGGCCCCCTAAGATAACCACCTGCTTCGGTTTGGGCACCCGGGCAGTATCACAGCCCACACACAAATGATGAACTCTTTATGTCTATGGAAATTACTTTTGTCGCTTTGAAAAACAATTAATTGATTCAAATTATGATCACTACAATTATTGTCATTATTAATACTAATATTATTATTACTACTATTATTGTCATTATTGTTATTATCATCATTATTATTATTATTTTCCACATTATTCACCTTCTTTTATACTTATACAGCGGCTCGTCTTTGGTGGAATTCCGACTGTATCTAAACGTTCTCGAGTCACTGTCCGGTTGAAAATTGTATGTTACCACCGAATACGAGGACTGAAGCAGATTTTCTGAAACCACGTGCATCATTCAAACTGGCTGCCTTCAACGTTCGCACATTTATGCAGGTCGGACAACAGATAGGGCTGGCTATGTCTTTGGAAAGTCTTAATATCGACGTGTGTTGTCTATCCGAGACCCGTATTCAAGACTCTGGCGAAGTACTACAAATTCGATCTCCATCTGTCGCTTCGAAAAGCTTGTTTTACGTGCGCTTATCCGGGGACCCTGTGGCATCTTCGTCTGGTCTTGCTGGCGTTGGTGTCGCACTAAGCGCTAGAGCTGAGGCAGCACTAGTCGATTGGATCCCCATTAACAGTCGGTTATGTGCTGTTAGATTAGAAAGTTCCATCAAAGTGAGAAGAAATCGGCGTGAGAAACGATGTCTTTTCGTCATCTCCGCCTATGCCCCGACAGATTGCAGCCCGGATGCAATCAAGGATGAGTTTTACCACCAGTTATCAGTTCTTCTCCAGAAAGTGCGTTCGACAGATATTGTAGTACTAGCCGGAGACTTGAATGCTCAGGTCGGGCGTCTAGGCACAGAAGAGAGTCGTTTAGGTGGCCGATGGGGACTCGTTTGTCGCAGGTCAGATAACGGGGACCGTCTACTGCAACTTTGCACAGACCACAACCTGTTTCTGGCTAGCACTAACTTTCGGCACAGTCATCGCCGATGTGCCACCTGGCGTCCTCCCTCTGCATCTCAAGCCTGGACTCAGATTGATCACATCGCGATCAGCTACCGCTGGCGTGGTTGTGTACAAGACTGCCGCTCCTTTTGGAGTACCTATCTGGACTCTGACCATGCCTTGGTCTGCGCCAATCTTGCCTTACTTTTCAGTGGACAACGAAGTGAACGCCATCAACGGATTGATGTTAGCAAGTTGGTTGCAACTTCTGTTGCAAGTAAGTATCGAACTGAGCTAGCCTCTAGGCTAGCTACCACTCCACCGAAAAGTATAGATGAGCATTGGTTGCAATTGCATGACGCCATGAAAATGGCGAGAACAGTCAGTTGTGGGTTTGCGAAACGTCCAGCTTTTAAGCACTGGGTTTCTGCAGGTTCCTTACAACTCATTGAAGCCCGTCGGTCTACTCCGGGTGACCGTGAGTTTGACCATAAACGAAGGATTTTACGTAAGGAAATTGGGCAAAGCTTGCGTAAGGACCGAGAAGCCTGGTGGTCGATGCGTGCTAATGAGCTGGAAGCAGCAGCTGCATCTGGTAACTACCGGAAGCTCTTCCAACTCATCCGAGCCACTGGCAGCAAGAAGTCTGGTGTGAGTGAAACAATCTGCGAGGATGATGGGATGCCAATCACTAACATCCATCGACGTCTTGGACGGTGGGCAGAATTTTTCGAAGGGCAGTTCAACTGGCCTGCTGCTCCGGCAACATCAGTCAGACTGTCCTGCCCTCCATGGCCGGTGACGACTGATCCACCAAACGAGGAGGAAGTCCGCAAGGAACTCCAACTCTTGAAGCGTTACAAATCACCTGGCCCAGATGACTTACCTCCGGCTCTTTTTAAAGATGGTGGTGACTTTTTGACTAAGGAATTGACGACGTTGTTTACAAAGGTTTGGGATCTAGAGAGTGTACCAACGTCATGGAATGAGTCGATAGTTGTCCCTATCTTTAAAAAGGGTTCACGTCGTTCTTGTAACAACTATCGGGGGATAAGTTTACTTCCGATTGCGTCCAAGCTATTGGCTTCCGTCATTCTTCGTAGGTTGTTCAAAACCCGAGAAAGATTGACTCGCGAGGAGCAGGCTGGGTTTCGTTCTGGTCGAGGATGTATTGATCATATCTTCACCCTCCGCCAAATGTTAGAACACCGCCATACTTTTCAAAGGCCAACAATCGTAGTGTTTCTTGACATCACGGCTGCCTTCGATTCGTTGGATAGGACTGTTCTCTGGGATTGTCTATTGAAGAAGGGTGTGCCTGAGAAGTTTATTAACATCCTAAAAGCCTTGTATAAAAACACCTCAGGCAGAGTGAGGGCATACAACCACCTCTCTCCATTGTTCCATTCGAGCAGTGGGGTTAGGCAGGGTTGCCCAATCTCACCATTCCTCTTCAACTTTGCCATCGATGACATTCTGGAAACAGCTCTGATGAATGTAAGTAATGGTGGTGTGGATCTGTTGCCTGGAGAAAGACTTCTCGACCTTGAGTATGCGGACGATATTGTCTTACTGTGCGATAATGCCCAAGGCATGCAATCCGCACTTAATCAGTTGGCAATCAATGTCCGTAGGTATGGTATGTGCTTTGCACCTTCGAAGTGCAAAGTACTTCTACAAGACTGGCAGGATTCTAATCCTGTACTCACCCTGGATGGTGAGCAGATAGACGTAGTTGAGAAGTTCGTGTATCTGGGTAGCATCATAAGTGCTGGTGGGGGTGTGAGTGATGAGATCAATGCACGAATAGTGAAAGCCAGAGCGGCTTATGCCAATCTGGGCCACCTTTGGCGCCTTCGTGATGTTAGTCTGGCCGTAAAAGGTCGGATCTACAACGCGTCGGTGAGAGCAGTTTTGCTCTATGCTTGTGGAACCTGGCCTCTCCGAGTTGAGGACGTTAGACGACTCTCTGTGTTCGATCATCGCTGTCTCCGAAGGATTGCTGACATTCAGTGGCAACACCATGTCAGTAATGCAGAGGTTCGGCATCGTGTGTTCGGGCACAGAGATGATAATTCAATTGGTGTCACCATCTTGAAACACCGACTTCGGTGGCTTGGACATGTTCTCCGAATGTCGTCCCAGAGAATTCCACGTCGTGCATTATTTGCCGACTCTGGGACTGGTTGGAAGAAGCGGAGAGGTGGTCAGTGCATGACATGGTGTCGTGGCATGAAAGAAAGCTGCAAAGGACTGGCTTGTGTTGGTCCTTCACGACTCCCTGGTTGGGGTCCGAGAGATGGTGCAACACAGTGGCTAGAGACGTTATCAGATATGGCTCAGAATAGAAGCCAGTGGCGATCCTGCTGTAACCTTCTTTAACTTTCTTCATAAAAAGTGGTTGTGTCTCCTTTACCTGAAAGATTTCTTCTGATTGTACCTCTTCGTCATTACTCTCTTTTTCTTTTGCGTTCCTTAGTTTTTTTTTTCTTTCTACTTCTCTTCGAATTCCCATTGTTTTGTGTGGCGCATATATATTGGCGCTCTCTTGTACCAATATTTATGTGTTCAAATAAATAAATAAAATAAATAAATCCCGCTTGCGGGATTCAAACCCAAGGCCTTCGGTCTCGCGCACAAACGCTCAACCAACTGGACCACTGAGCCAGCATCCAATGGTGATAGTGTCTAACATCAACCAATCCACGAAATTGCGCGACCAACTCCCATTGCACTGAGGTAGATAACTGTCTCTACTCGACATGGATTAGCTCCACCGATCACGGCTTCTCACTAGAACTTAATAATCTCCACAACCCCTATACTTGAAATCTTATTATTGATGAATAAAATATTTCTGTTAGCAATGATATATTTAAGTAGGAATTCTGAAAACTATAGATTCCGCCTTAGTAATGTGCTTTAGTATCATAAGAGGTTTGGTGGATATTATTGTAATTGTAATAGTTGAAATCATGAGTCAATTGAAGCTAGACCACTATGGAAAACCTGGAAGCACTAGACGGCCGTTTCGTCCTATTGTGCAAGATCTAAACCCAGGATCTATCAGTCTCCCGCGCCAACGCCTAAACTGTAGACCACTGAGCTGGACGGCATCCAATAATGTTAATATCTAACTTCAACTAATCCACGAAAGGGAGTGACACATCCACCATTGTCTTCAGTGATTTACTATCTCACAACAGACCTGGTTGAACTCCAATAGTCACTGCTTCGCACTAGGATTCCAGGATGTGGATGTGTGGCTCAATTTCGTGGATTAGTTGATGTTAGATATTAACACTATCCAATGCCGGCTCAGTGGTCTAGAGTTTAGGCGTTCGCACGCGAGACTGATAGATCCTGCGAGGTGGGATCGTGTATGCGCACTGTTGAGGAGTCCGACAATAGAACGTAACGGCTTTTCATAATGGTCTAGCTTCAATTTACTCATGATCTCAACTATTAACATTACTATAATATCCACAAAACCCCTTCTGATATTATAAGCATTTGTTCAATAGGGAAGCTACACTTAGAGATTTTGAAATATTCTTCAAAAAAATGATTGGATGGAGCATCTTCAGCTCTTTCTGAACTTCTTAGAACTTCCTCAAATTCATCCATGGGTCATCCTCACATTATCTATAAGTATGTTTGTATTTAAAATCGTCTCAAATCATCATATAAATATAATAATAACTTACCCAACTCCTGAAGCATATAGATCTTTAGCATCAGCTTCAGCTAATTCATGATTAATGATTGAATTGATACCTTTTTCAGGTATTGCTTTCAATTGTAATACTGGTATATCATCACGTTCAGCTTGAACTAAACACATTAATGCATATTCATAATCACCGCTTATTTCTTTTTTCATATCAGTAACTAATGAACGTTCTGATTCTTTTGTTTGTTTATTGAAAGATATTCAAGTGTAAAATAGAAAACAAAAACTAGAGGATAATCTTTTGTTTATGTATGAACCGGATATAGATTGGAAATAAAGTATGCTCAATGTACAATGGTGTTGATGCACGCTGATAGGCTAATTCTTATCCAATCAATGTTAGTCAATCCTTGAAGAACACTTTAGAATCTTCTCATATAAGAAAATAATCAATATATTACCATTTTTCCTATTGTGTTTCATACTTCCATCTACCCCTTGTAATTCCTGTTTAACCGTGTTTTGATTTGGGGACTCGTCGAATGAATTGGAGTCCAAGAATATTAAGCAGTAAGAATAGCTTGGTTTGTAATAAGAGAGAATTATAACAGTGGTGACAAGGGAAAAGGAAACTGAATTCAAGATATCCATATCAGATGACCAGCCCAACCAAATACTAAAACAACTGCAAGCAAATTATGTGTCTGGTATAATACGAGCCTAGTCTGTGCCTAGCCTATCAATCGAGTATCCAGTCTTACTTACCTATACCTCTTATTCCCAATGGACAATAGACTGCCGACCAGAATTCTCCAACCCAGTCTGCTGGGCCTTCCTTTCCAGTTCTATCCAATTTTGTTCATTTTTCTCATGTCCGTTTTCATTTCTCAGCGTAATGTGTTCTTTGGTCTTCCGATTCTCCTTTGGCCTTCAGGATTCCAAGTGAGGGCTTCCATTGTGAGCCAGTTGGGTGCCTTCTTCAATATGTATCCTGTCCACTTCTAGCGATTCTTTCTGACTGCTTCCTCCGCTGGGATCTCGTTTGCTCTATTCCACAGTAGGTTGCTCTTGATAGTGTCTGGCTAACAAATCCGAAGTATTTTGCGTAGACAACTTTTAATAAACACTTGTATCCTCTGCGTGATGGCTTTCGTAGTTGTCCAAGTTTCCGTCCCATCCAGTACGACTGTCTTGACATTTGCATTGAAAATTCTGACTTTGATGTTGGTTGACAGACAGTTGTTTTGAGTTTCAGATGTCCTTCAGTTGTAAATATGCTACTCTTGCTTTGCTGATCCGCGCTTTCACATCTGCATCAGATCCACTGTGTTCATCAATGATGCTGCCCAGATATGTAAAGGACTTTACATCTTCCAAATCTTCTCCGTCGATTGTGATTGGATTGATATATGTTGTGTTGTATCGGAAAATTTAGCTTTTCTCTTTGTGTATATTGAGACCTACTGCTGTTGAGGCTGCTGCTACATTGGTCGTCTAGTCTAGTCTAGTCATAATATAATCTTTATCACCGGTTGTACCACTGAATATTAGTAATACATCGCGGCAAACAGAAAACGAAAACATTTTTATCCTCTACTTGTAACAGTCTAGCAATGGAATGTGAACTTTCAAGTACACTATGCTGAATAATGCCAACGTATTTCCAGTATGGCTCCCTACGGACTATATTTAACTATCTAATATCTAAACATGGTGAACGTCATTTGTGCTAGTAGCCGCAGTACAACATGATCGATAGAATAGGGTCAACGCTAAAGACTAGACAGATATGACATTGGTTGCTACTGTTTTAATGGCTGATCAATGTAAACATTAGTATTACAAATTGTACTTAAACTTGTCAACCAAAGAATGAACAACCTAATATATGATCATGTACTATTTCAAATAGTAAGGTAAAAACTACTAGTTTTACAAAAGACAATAGTATCAATTCGGGGTCGTGGATGAGCATTAATGGGGAGTCCCACAATAAGACGAAACGGCCGTCCAATGCTTCCAGGTTTTCCATGGTGATCTAGCTTCAATTGACTCGTAATCTCAACCAATGACATTACTACAATCATCACAAAACCCCTTCTGATACTAATCAACATATGCTCACTAGTGACTGGCTTCAAAGAGGTATATCCTGGAGTTCTAGTGAGAAGCCGTTACCAGTGGCGTTCAACCAGGTCTGTTGTGAGATATCCACTCACTGAAAACAATAGTGTACGTTGGCGCAACTTCGTGGATTGGTTGAAGTTAGATATTAACACCGTTGGATGCCGTTGCAACTTCAATTGACTCATGATAGTATCAATTCAATTGTGAATTCCATAGTGAAACTATTACAGTTAACATATCAATAGATGATAAATGTAACAAACATAACTTACCTTCAATTCCTTTGTCTTTGAGTACTAAGAATGAAAAAGATAAACAAGAGTTTATTCAGAACTAGATGTATATCATGAAGAACTAACATTTAAACTAACAGAACTTAGATATCTAGACAAGAGTGAATTGATAAACGTCAATGTTTCATCAGCTGATTGAGATTAGAAATATGAATTGAAAGCTGATACAAGTCTAATTTGAATAAGTTTCATTTGAAGTTACCATATTTCAATTCAGAACAGTGTAAGAGAAAATTGTCAGTATAGGTGTTATGGAGATTATTTAGTTTGTGATTGAGATCATGAATCGATTGATGTAAGATCACCATGGAAAACCTGTAAGAACTGGACGGCCGTTTTGTCCTATTGTGGGACTCCTCGGCAGTGCGCATCCAGGATACCTGTCACGGGATTCCAACCCAGGGCTTTCAGTTTCACGCGCGAACGCTTAACCTACTGGATCACTGAGTCGGCATCCGATGGTGTTAGTGTCGAACATCAAGCAATGCACGAGATTGCGCGACCATCTTCGATTGTACTGAAGGGTAGATACCTGTCTCTACCCGACACGGATTAGTTCCACTAATCACGGCTTCTGTTCATGATGTCAATCGAATAATCAAAAGAAAATTGACATGTTAGACAGTAAACATGAGAAAATTATCCAATGGATTGAAACCCTAAACATAGGAGATATAATTAATATAAAATAAATGAAAATTATGTAATTATAAGGATGACCCCTGGGTAAACTCAAGGTAGTTCTAAGAAGCACTGAAAGAATCGAAGATATTCCATCCAATCATCTTGTGGAAGAATATTCCAGAATCTTGACATGTAGTTTCCCAATTTGACGAATGGCAAAAACGACTGCACAGGGATTAAATGATTGTAATGACGAAATTTAACATTAACAATTCCACTTTCATTTTGTATTGTTTGTTTGAATCTTCCCATTGATGCTTAGTACTGCTATTGATCAGTCTCTTATTGGAATATGTGCATACTGTACGGATTGCCTCAATATTGCCTTAAATCACAAGCATTGTAGGCAGAGATTGTTTGTGGCTAGTAGTGGAATCCAGGATACGCATTGCGTTTTATTCGGGACTTGTCATCTGGATGTACCTGCATTCCATAGTTAATGTTCACTTTGACACTCGAACACAGTACCGTTCGCTTCATGTGGATAAGCTAAGTGGATAAGGCAATGAAGTTTGAAGCGAGAGGGGTTCGAATCCCAGAATGAACCCCAACTCTGCGATGCAGGTACATCTAGATGAGAAGTTCCGAATAGAAGGAAACGCGCGTCCTGGATCGTACTGTTAGCTATCATCGATCTTTACTTATTCACAATTTCTTACAAAACTATTAAGAATTCATGTGTCTTCAAATAACCAGTAAGTGACTAATTTTCCACCTGGTCGTTTTTAAACCGGACAGAAATGATTGACCTAATATGATAGTCAGGCTTGCTGTCACACTTGCAGATCAACAAGATAGTAGCTTAATAATTCAACTTTTTATTTAGATCCTTCAAGGAGAAATTTCCTTCGATGTTTGGGCTGTAGTAAAGTAGATCACTATTGGTAACCATCGAATGTATTTGAATACACCATTACAAAATATCTTAGTAAAATTTGATAACCATACAGTAAATACTTCATTTGTAAAGTGTCAATCAATCGTTTCAGACTTGATTGTTCTTTCGTTTCCATTCCAATCATTCTTTGTTCACGTTCTCATTCGCTTCGATCTTCTTAAACTTCTACCGCCAGGCATTTCACTTTCATTTGATGACCATACATACTACTTATATCTGTCGATATCAGTAACACACCCCACATGGCAACCATGAAGTATCAATCATACACACACACAAATAGGTACACAAAAGCACTTAAATTTGTAGAACTAAATTCAATTTATCCAGATGAATCAAACTACTCCCTCCAAATCCCCCCAATTAGGTATATAGGAAATAGTATTCAAACAATGTATCTCCTAAAATGTTTTTCTAAACATAACTTACCTTGTTTATAAGCATCAGCTACAGCTCTTGTTTCATCATTCCATAATGTGGTAAATATTTCAATAAGTACACGATCATTTGTTCCTAAGCCTTTCATTGCATAATATAATGATTTAGCCAACATATAAGGTGTATCAACAACTAGCTGACATAAAACTTTACGAAAGTCTCCACTAGTCTCCGATTTCAAATCGTCTTTTAGATCCTTTTTCAAAAAATAGTAGAATATAAAATAACTAGAAAGGGGTTTTGTAAATATTATAATACTTGAATTCATGAGCTAATTGAAGCTAGATCACCATGGACAATCTGGAAGTAGTGGACGGCGTTTTCGTCCCACTGTGGGATTCCTTAACAGTGTACATCCACGATTCCGCATCGAGAGATTCCAACCCTGGATCTATTAGTCTTGTGAGCGAACGCCTAAACTCTAGACCACTGAGCTGGACGGCATCCAATAATGTTAATATCTAACTTCAACTAATTCACGAAATGGAGTGACACATCCACCATTTTCATCAGTGAGTTACTATCTCACAACAGACCTGGTTGAACTTCGCTGATCATTGTGATCAGATTGTTCGAAATATATTGCGATAATATATCATCACATAGTTTGCAATGATCTTTGTCTTCTTATTAAACTATCAAAATTTATCAAAGAGACTAACTGTTTTACATCTTCGTTATCCCCACTTGTGTTCTCATTGATTACAATGTGTTAATAGTTATTTGTACAACTAAAAAACATCATCAGTGTAAATTTCAGACATAGGTCAACTATGAGATGGTGTTTTGTTCTCTGAGCTGGATGATATGGTCATAGAGCTTTCGTCGTCTTTCTGAACGGTATCATCAGCACAAACTTCAGATAGAAGTGAAGTGTTCGAATTTCTCCACATGTGCAAAATTGCATGTAGACATTTGGTGAGGACACACATTCAACTAAGAAAATCTGGAAATTTTGATTATAGGCAATTCCAAAAATGGAAGATGATCACGTAATCTCGTTGATTTGTTGATTTGAGACATTAACACCATTTTATACCGGCTTAGTGGTTCAGTAGGTTAAACGTTCGCGCGCGAAACTGAAAGCCCTGGGTTGGAATCCCGCGAGGGGGATCGTGGATGCGTACTGCTGAGGAGTCTTACAATGAGACGAAACGGCTATCCAGTGATTCCAGGTTTTCCATGATCGTCTAACATCAATCGATTCATGATCTCAATCAAAAAGTTAACAATCTTCAAAACCCCTAAATCGATAATTCCGAAAACATCAAAGAATTTTCATAAGTTTGGTACTCAGGTCAATCGTCAATCAACAAGCACATTGAAATTAAGACAAATAATGAACATGTTGTAAATGTAATATTGCAGTATGGTTTTTCTATTTGATCATGTAACTCTGTAGTCGGTTATTCTCATCTGTGTTCTTATTCACTGCACTTCCACTTTGATTTTTCATTTTATGGTTTGATATTTCTTGATATATCTGCATATGTACTATGTTTGCTTGAAATATACTAATCGTTGGTACTGATTACTGATTATGGACTCAAGGCTGAGTATAGGAGAGATCTAGCGTATAGTGGACTAATAAGAACTTAGATGTCAGTTTATGGTCACTAGGACTGGGTGAGGTGTCATCAGTTAAGCCAAGAGCACTAGACTATAGAGGAAATAACACCTGATATTGGACAGCAGTTTCAAGACATAACAATCTGATAAGTTTGGTTAATTTCAACAAAGAATATTGATCATCGAGTGAAGTAAATGCTAAGCTTCAAGAAATGATCTATTCTTCTTTAAGTTGCTTCTCAATGTGAGTTCAACGTTTTCTCAGACTAATGTACGTCTGCAATCATCCATATAACAATTACAATAAAGTTTCGGAGAAACGAACATACAATCGTAGATAACAATCAAATTTCTGAACCATACAGTAAATATCCATCGGTTGTCTCAGATTTGAATGTTCTTTCGTTTCCACACCAATCACTTTCTGTCCTCATTCATGTTCTCTTTGACACTGGTAGCACACATCAAAATGAGAGCACACAAACTGATGTTCAGAATTTGCTCGATCCTAGAATTAAATCAACCTGATATCTGAATACATTTCCTTTTATATGGTTTATTCGGTCAAGTTAATATTAAGTCTTCTATAATTTGAATTTAGTAATTTTAGTTAGCCTACGCACAAAAACACGCCTTCTATCTTTAGTTGTTGTACCCAGTTTTGATAGTCAGTCAGTCAGTTAACAGCGTAGAACTTCGTACGTACGTACATCAGTTCGAGTTGCCATGATACATCATAACAGTGATACAATTGTCGATTCAAATCCCGTAGTGGCAGAGGTAGTAAAAGTATAAGCAACGATCGGGAACATTAGGATTTGAAGATGTTATTCAAAGAGTATAATTCAGTGAAATAAATTTGGAAAGAGACAAAAGAAAGGGACATGAAGAATTGAAAAGATTAGAATTTGGGAGAACACAAAGAATGGATGCACTTGCGCCATTGCAAACGATTTTGAGCCATGTCACATTCAAGATCTCTAACCATCGATTGCTATCGTTTCGCGGATCCCAACCAGGTGGTTAGTCTACACCTATCAACATGGCTCAGTCCACTTATCAGTGACTTCATGGATTTGTGCCATGTTTTGATCTGGCCGCTCCTAACATAATCCCAGCTTACTTCAAAAGCATAAAACATTGATCCAGTTTTGATAAGTATTATATGAGTGCAGTATCAGTTGTCATCTTGATTTTATGTTTATTTCGCTACTTACTTACTTATTACTTACATGTTTATATAAACTTTTGTATGATCGACACAATTCTTGACGTTCATAATTTGTTCTACGTGCCAATATGTTGATAATTGCTGTTTCATCTGTGCCTTAAAATAGAAATGGAATATTGAAATGTATTAATTAAAAACAAACTAATATGTATAACTAGTTCGGTAGCTTGAAAATGAGTAAGCTTTTAGCGGAGTTTCGTACTCTAAGATGTAGTTTTCAGTTGTTAGATCTTCATTGTTCTTCTGAACAATTACAGACAACAACTGGTTAGAGTTCGATGACAGTAAATCGAGATTAAGGTCGTCAAGACATGCAGTCAATCATATTTTATGGAATTTGAATACCCCACGTCTACTTGAAGTTTGTGGTAGTGATGTTGTTCAGGAGAACATTGGAATCTTCACGATTAAACCAGATGGTTTAGAGAACGAGACAACTATTAGAAACCTAGTGGCACTGGATAAATGTTCTGTGATAGTATAGAACTCCTTAGCAGAGCCCAACCACCACTCCGCCATCGAGAATCGAACCCAGGGCACTTAGTCTTGTGTTCGAACGCTTAACGTATGAACTACTAAGTCAAGGTCTAGTTGTATACAAACCTATTTCCAATCAGTTCACGATAATGTGCGACCATCTAATATTTTTGGTAGGTGCCTTCAGCATACCCGAAACAGTTAAACTGGAAATGAAGAAGTAGATAATGTCACTACAAGGGGCAACAACAAACAATGAAAACCAAGGTATACAAAATAAAATACAGGTCACTTGTTTGAAAATCGGAATAGCTTACCTCTATCTAGAAATTTTTTACTGTTAAAAATAGCTTCTATAAAAATAATAAAGGCGTGACTATTAAACTATTGAGCTCAGTATACCTATCACCTCTAAAAACACCAACATGAGATACAAATCTGCTTCACAATCTTAAGGCTTAATTCAGGGCTACGAAATCAAGTTGAATACTGACAATTATCTTGACGTTTTTTTCTGAGAAAAGGCTAATAATGATGTCATCAAAAGGTGTTTCCTGGAGTTCTATTGAGAAGCAGTGACCAGTGCAGTCCAACCGGGTATTTTGTGAGATAGTAACTCATTGATGACAATGGTGGATATGTTGCTAAATTCGTGGATTCGTTGAAGTTAGATACAAACAACTCTGAATGTTGGCTCAATGGTCTAGAGTTTAAGCGCTTGAGCGCGGCACCGATAGATCCTGGGTTGGAATCTTGCGATGCAGGATCATGGATATGCACTGCTGAAGAGCTCCGTAGTTGGACGAAACGGTCGTCCAGTACTTCTAGGTTTTCCATGGTGGTCTAGCTTCAATTAACTCATGATCTGAACTATTGAAATTACTATAATATCCACAAAACACCTTCTGATATTAATGATCAAACTATTAAAGTATTTTGAAATGAAGTTTATTTTCAGGTCTTCATTGTTGTAGTAAATAACATCAAACTGCAAAAAATTACGTTAACACTTTTAGCTACTTATAAGTAGCTAATCCTTCGTCATGAATAGTAGCTAAAGTAAATGAGTAATTAGTGGAATATCTGAGAACTAAAATTAGAGTCAACTGCACCTCTTCAAGTAAATAAAATCCAATTGGATAAACAATTGATGTTCACTCCAGAACTTAAGTCCGTTGCCGTTTATTTCAAACGACGTCGTGCTATCCTCTTAACAACTGAGTCTAAATAACTACTTACTTCCTAATATTGTTTAGGATTCCAGTTGATCAGTCTCTTGTTGGCATGTGTGTATCCTATACGGATTGTGTCGATTTTACTATATAGTCACAAGCATTATAGATTGGGTTAGATGGTGGTTAGAAATGGGCGCCCAAAATGGGGAGAAATTTGCGTCCTGGATTCCGTAAAAATTAGGTCATTCAACAAACCATAAATGATTTTTTGCATATTATTTCTAACTGGCTTCCATGATGTTTGTAAACATAGATTTCGAAAATTCAACACAATGAAGTTTTATGACGTTAAGCTGAGAATAGTGTAATAAGTTCATGACGATAATAGATGACTGGCTTCAAGAGGTATATCCTGGGGTTCTAGTGAGTAGCAGGTCTGTTGTGAGATAGTAACTCACTGATGACAATGGAGGATGTGTCACTCAGTTTCGTAAATTGGTTGAGGTTAGACATTAATACAATTGACTGCCGGCCAGCTCAGTGGTCTAGAGTTTAGGTGTTCGCTCGCGAGACTAATAGATCCTGGGTTCGAATCTCGAGAGGCGGGACAGTGGGTGCACAGTGCTGAGGAGTCCTACAATAAGACGAAACGGCCATTTAGTGCCTCCAGGTTTTCCACGGTGTTTTAGCTTCAACTGACTTATGATCTAAACTATCGAAAGGCAAAAAGGCGGTAAATTTTTTCGCAAATCATGTTCTACACAGTAACTAACATTAGAATGAGTTGTCTTCCTGTGTCATTTATTCATATGCAATGATTGATCAAAATGGTTCTGTTATATCCAGGTGATGAAGAAGTAAATAGTAACCGTTAGGATCTATTTGTGGACTTTTATTTTATATATAATTATTATACAACTATTTCTAATTTATTTATTTATTTGGACACATAAATGTTGGTACAAGAGGTCACCGAATACATATGCACCACACATATCATTCGATTTGTGTGTGGGCTATGATACTGCCCAAGTCCCCAAACCCAAGCACACCACGTTCTCAAGTGGCTACACTCAGAGCCTTCGATCTGATGGTGTGATCCACAAAGCAGTGGAGCAACGTCAGGAGATACAGTCCTATGGTAGCTGGTAACCAACAACTGGTTCATACTCCATTTGTTCCCTAGGGTCCTGTACTACATATGCACCATTGATTTGAAATGAGAGTTTTTCAACTTCCGCATGTGGACTCTCTGTATTCATCAACCCAGTTAAAGCGTCGGACATTCGGTTTTCGTCCTCTCAATTTCGCAAACTACACCCCCGCCTCGAGAAGGCAGTGGGTAGGACTCCCTTGGTAGTGGTTGTATACGCGTGGTCATCTGAGAGCATTTGTAGAGGGAGAGAGGACTCTCCCCACCCTCGGCTGTACCAGAGCATTTAGGGGCTATAACTATTACGTAACTATGTTATATGTATATTCATATTTCTCTTATCATAAGCTTCCATTTGATTGATTGACTATTATGATACGATTTACCATTCTTAACTTATTCATAATTCATTAGTAACAGTCTCTTACAATCACAGCCACTTTTGGTTTGATCTTGTATCATTGTCATTTTCTATTTTGCTTATATATAAACTTCATATCTTTGAAATATATGATTCTTATAGCAAAGGCTAATGTTAGTGTTCTGGACTCAATTGACTTGATTAAACAAGAAGTTACTCATCTTGAAAGATTAATAAGAGCTCAGAGTTGAATCTAGTCTGCTCATATTTGGTTTATTATATAATATTTAGTCTGTTCAATCAATCATTGTGTTATAATTAACAATCTTATCACATGCTATTTCAATAGGTCATAAGAATAAAACAGATTCTTTTCATGATCAACTCTGAGTAACTATTAACTTAGAAATAGGTATCTTCTATAGAATCATTCATAGATGGTTTACTATATAGTTCTACATTTGAAACTTCATGCCAATAAAGACTTTTCAAGAATGTGATTTTATTGATGTTCTTGCAATACATAACTTTATGAAACAGAGAGAGAGAGAGACCGAGAGAGAGGGAGGAGAGAGAGACCAGTTCATAATGCAAGTTAGAACTGGTAATAAGTAAAGAATATAAATAAATATAGTCTATTCACTATGGTAACTAGTTAATTAATTAAAGTAGACTGGTTGTTTGGTTAAATAAATAAGTTGCCAAGATACTGAAGATTGTAATTTCAATGTATTTTAATTACTTAACAATATAAATATTTCAAAAGCCTAATGAATTATTTATTGCCTACAATCCTAACTGGTGTTGGGGATGGTTGGAAGAAAGTTAGGGGCGGCCAAACCAAAACGTGGCATCAGTGCTTGACGACACTAACCTCTAGTCTGAGTCATGTTGGTAGATGCAGACTACTTGGTTGGGGTACGTGTGACTTTCGCAGCCGATGGTTGGAGACTCTTGGTGACATGGCTCAGAATCGATCACAGTGGCGTCGGTGTATATACTCTCTGTCTTCCCTTAAACTATGAGAATAAAATCGCTACATATCTTTCTTTCCACGAACTACTTCTTTCTTCCTGTACTATATCCTTATACACAATCTTTTTTCTATATATTACTACCACTTAGGTAACTAATTCTATCAATTTGATGTTCATCTTGTTGTGTTAATGAGGTATGGCAACTTGGACCGATGCATATATGTACCTGGTCCTACGTTGTAGCTGACTGACTGACTGACTATGAATTTATTATGGTCAATTGTAATTCATTATAGATGATTGTATACTCTTATCAATCAATATTATGATGAATGTCAATATTGTAACTTGTTACCTATTGTAGTTAGTTGCCCCCCTCCCAATGCTCTAGTATGGTCGACAGTGGGGAGAGTCCTCTCTCCCTCTACAAATGCTCTCATATGACCACGCGTATACAACCACTGTCAGAGAAGTCCTACTCACTACTTCTCGAAACATGGGTGTTGCTTATGAAATTGAGGGGACGAAAAGCGAATGTCCGACTCTTTAACTGAATTGGTGGATACGGAGGGACCACATGCAGAAGTTGAAAAACTCTCATTCCAAATCAATGGTGCACATGTAGTACAGGACCCTAGGGAACAAATGGAGTATGAATCAATTGTTAGTTACCAACTACCATGGTACTGTATCTCCTGACGTTGCTCCATTGCTTTGTGGATCACACCTTTATATCGAAGGCTTTGAGTGTAGCCACTTGAGAACGTGGTGTGCTTGGGTTTGGGGACTTGGGCAGTACCATAGCCCACACACAAATCGAATGATATGTGTGGTGCATATGTATTCGGTGCCTCCTTGTATCAATATTAATGTGTTAAAATGAATAAATTGTGGTTAGTTACGTCGGAATTATGAATTAAGGTTAAGAGTTCACATGCGAAACCGAAGGTTCTGGGCACCATTACCGCATATGAGTTTGTGGATGTACACTGCTGAAGAGTCCCACACGAAGATGAAACGGCTGTTAAGTGTTTACAAGTTTTTAATGATTGTCTAACTTAGATCAGTATCTAATTAGTTATTGAGTCATATAAATCACTTTTGTGGTTCTTAAGAATTTCAGAAATATCAACTCTGAGAAGAAAGTATATCCGATAGTTGAAGCTGAAATAGGAAGAAGCCTTTTATCCTAAATTCTACATTGAGTCATTGTTCATATCAATAACATTCTTAGATCTATTTATAGTGACCAGATATTAACATATTCTAGTTGATATTATGAGGAAAACCAGACAAGTTACATGATAAATGGGAGGGAAATGAAATTGTTGCCAATAATCACTTCTTATATCAATGCTACGTAGGTTGATTCAAATACACATAGAAAGGTTTAAATAGATATTAACACTGTTGGATACCGGTTTTGGTGGTTTGGAGATTAAATATTAGCGTATGAGACTGAAGGTCTTTGGTTCGAGTGCCAAGTGCGGGATCGTGAACGCTCATTGACGAGGAGTCCCATACTAGGACGAAACGGTCAAATTGCAGACGACCAATGTAAGAGCAATGAATTCAGATGTATTAGCAATTAGCCAAAATACGTGAATACAGAATGAGTGAGTTGAATTTTTATAAAAAGTGTTTAAATCACTGACAACCAATAAGCGGATAGATGAAAAACACATACATATATAGCAGTTGAATTCACGAGTCAGTCTAAGCTAGATCACTATTGAAAACCTGAAAGGATTGAACGATCGTTTCGTTTTAGTATGGCACTCCTCAGAAGTACACGTCCACGATTATGCAATCACATGCGAGAACGAAGATCTTGGGTTCGAATCCCACGTGAGGGTCATGAACGCTCACTGCTGTTTACGTGTGAAGGAATAGCCTAGCGATGAATCAGTTGAAATAGACACACAGAACTTTAAAGTTTCCTTCAATTTTGACCTTAAACACTGAATCCTTGGAAAAAAGAAGCCTTGACTCCATGTCAGCTCATGATGAGAACTCTAATCTTAAATATCTTATCCCTACTTTAAATACTTAACCCCGAATAGCAATCGATTCACTGTTGTTCTAATCTCATCTGTAAACTATACTGTCCTCGATTATTGTTTGATAAAACTAAATTACATTGTTAAGTCAAACAAATTCGGGATGAGAAATTTCAGAACTGTCTTAACAGTTCTACCCCTTCTTACAAATTGCCAGCAGTAATTTGAGTAATAAGGAAAGAGATATGACAGTTAAGATGTGTTAGATAGATGACCAATTGTATATGCTTCACTAATAGCAAGTGCATAATCAGTCAGAAGTAGGGATTCTATCAAGATATCTGATTGCTTACCACTCCTCTATTACCCACAACATGAAAAGATACTATTTTTGAAGTATCTAGGATGAGAACTAGTCTAAGTGAAGTCTTAACGATTTGAGAGTGTAATATTAAAGGCGAAGGGTTAACTGGAAAACCTGGAAACACTGAATGGCCGTTTCGTCCTAGTATGGGACAGTGAGCATTCACGATCCCGTCCCGCATGGTTCGAACCCAGGACCCATCAATCTCGCGCGCGTACGCTTAACCTCTAGACCACTGAACCGATGTTCAACGGTGTTAATGTTTAACTTCCAGTAGTGTTCCAGTTGACTTGTCTTCTCTCTCATGCTTGTCAGCCAATTAGGTGATAGAATAGTATTTTCCTCTCTACCCTAAACAGTTGGTCTCACTTCGAACTCACACAAACTAGCCTCAAGTTTAAGCCAGTTAGCCTATCCCGTCAAGGTCTTAATCTAGATTTAAAGTAGTTATCCACAGCGTAGAAGTGTGTAAACAGAGCGAGAGCGTAACATCTTCAAATTTTACAGTCCGTTGTAGAAATCCACATGTGAAGTTAAGATGTAATATCATTGGAGATAACTTTTTCTTAACTGTCACTTTATAATGGGAAAACAGGGTCACTGGAGATTCTGATTATCCAAGAAAAACACCTCAAATATTATCAGTATAGAGTTGTGGGGATTATTAAGTTTTTGACTGAGATCATGAACCGACTGATGTTAGACCACTATTGAAAATCTGAAAGCACTGGACGGCCATTTCGTCCTATTGTGAGGCTCCTCAGCAATGCGCGAGATTCGAACCCAGGACCTATCAGTCTCGCGCGCGAACGCCTAACCTCTAGACCACTGAGCTGGATGGCATCCAACGGCGTCAGAATATATTACATAATACTTTTTCTTTGTTACATACTTTATCTAGACATCAATGTAGAGTTTATTATAATCGATTTATAATTGTCGTCTTGGTAATTGATAGTTTCAACAGAATAGTAGTAACTAATCTTTTTCTCCCCCCTAGAAATGTCCATTTTCTAGTTCATTCACACTAAAAAAATCTATGTATCATGGAGTTCTCATTGGTTATTTATATCCTGTTTGTCTATACAATCAAATTCAAGGATAAACATCAACAATTTATATTCAATGAAACAACTACAATGTTCAAGATTCAATTTAACTTAAATGATTAAAAAGTAACCGACATTTTGAAGTGTTTAATAAATGTGTAATATTTGTTCATTTAGTATATCATTGTTGTACGTAAGAGAACAGTGGATAAGACAGGCCGGTGTCAGGAAAGGCTGCTTACTTTCACTCTTTCTCTTTCTTCGGGTGATCGACTAGATTATGAAGAAGTCAACATCTAGGGGGAAGCATGGGATATAGTGAACAGTTGGGATGCAGCCGAACGATCTAGACTTAGCAGATGATATGGCTCCTCTATCACACACGCAACAAGAAATGTAGGAGAAAACGACCAGTGTAGCAGCAGTCTCAACAGCAGTAGGTCTCAACATCAACAAAGAGAAAAGCAAGATTCTCCAATACAACACAACATACACCAACCCAATCAAAATTGACGGAGACGATTTGGAAGATGTAAAGTCCTTTACATATCTGCGTAGTATCACGGGGAGATTTGATGTAGATGTAAAGGCGCGGATGGGCAAAGCAAGAACAGCATATTTACAACTGAAGAACATTTGGAACTCAAAACAACTATCTGTCAACCAACACCAGAGTCAGGATTTTTAATACAAATGTCGAGACAGTTTTGCTGTTTGTGGCGGAAACGTGGACAACTACGAAAACCATCATCCAGAAGATATAAGTGTTTATTAACAGTTGTCTACGCAAAATACTTCGGATTTGTTGGCCAGACACTATTAGCAACAACCAACTGTGAGAAAGAACAAGTGAGATCCCAGCGGAGGAAGAAATCAGGAAGAAGCGCTGGAAGTGGATAGGACACATATTGAGGAAAGCACCCAATTGTGTCATAAGGCAAGCCCTCACATGGAATCATCAAGGCCACAGGAAAAGAGTAAGACCAACGAACACATTACGCCGGGAAATGGAGATAGACATAAGTAAAATGAAGAAAAATTGGATGGAACTAGAAAAGAAGGCTCAGGACCCAGTGGGTTGGAGAATGCTGATCACAGCCTATGCTCCATCGAGAGTAACGGGCGTAATTAAGTAAGTAAGTGTATGCAGCATTGACACACTAAATGAATAGAAAACTACTCGGCCATGCTAGATATCACACTTATATTGACTAAAGTTGATTATTCATACACACACACACACAACCAATCAATTTTCAAATAACATTCTATACGATAATATTTTTTTCTACTAACCTGGACCTTTCATAGCCCGATGTAATCGTTCAGCATCAGCTGATGCTGAAAAACCAGTTGTTGGTTTAATTGTTGGTGTGTAATGTTTACCATGTGGATCAAATGCATGAATTAATGAACGTGTTATTCCAAATCTATAAAAATAATAATAACGTTATTGTTGTATTAAGAAAATAAGTTTGACTAAGTGGATAATGTAATGTCATTTGAAGCAAATGGTTCTAGGTCTGAGTCCCGTAGTGAATATCAACTCTGACATCCAGCTGATGAACCTTAGATAGGACGAAACGCGCGAACTGGATTCCATCTTTATTTGAGAGTCATTGTTTAATCATTTGAATACAAGGTATGTTATTTATCAGCTGATGTCAGTCGGTTATGAAGATCATGTTTAATTACCCTCTCTCAAAGATTATTAAAACACAACTATTCGGTATCTTAATTGGCAATAATAGGGTGATGTAAAGGATCACTGATAGCTTTGTAAACCCTGATAGTTACAGTAAGATATTGTACTTGTTAGAGTTCAACTATTTGTGATAAGTAATCTACTGACCATCATGCTACATCGTGCAGTAACGGAAGTAGGAGTCATTTTCGTTGAGTTATCGTGTTTGTCAGAGGAGAGTTTTAATTGCAGAGCACATTCATGTACGAGATATTTGGGTCATTACTGAGAAAGACTCTTAAGCGACAATTAAATAGCTGTACAGTATCAATCAGCAACATAACTTAACATCATGATGAAATGATCTTCAAATATTGCTTAACAAAAAGAGGTGTACCATTTCACTATTATACAACAATTTAATAGTTAAGATCATGAGTCAATTGAAGCTAGAACACCACGGAAAACCTGAAAGCACTGGATGGCCGTTTTCGTCCTATTGTGGTACTCCTCAGAAGTGCGCATCTACGACCCCGTACTGCAAGATTCGAACCCAGGACCTATTGGTCTCGCACACGAACGCTTAACTTCTAGATCACTGAATCCATATCCAACGGTGTTAATGTCTAACTTCAACCAATCCATGAAATTCTTAACAGCATATATTAAAAATGTTTTTAAAAACTTACCCAGAAACAGTGGCCATTTAATAAGTCTTCAGAATGAACTACAATTTGACAGTCGATTATTATAAGTTCCCTAAAGTGAATAAAAAGGTTTTAGTGAAAATGTGAAGTTACAGTATCCATAGGCAAAACACAACAACAACAACTACTACTGCAGCTGATCAAATAGAGTTCTGAAGAATAAGTTACATGTTTGTGAATCTGGTTATCAGTGTTCATTGTTTATGCTGTATTGTGCATTCTCTCGTAATATTCTGTTCGGTTAGTGGGGTGATTGTTGCATTTAGAAATATACTTTTCGTTGAGGACTTCATTTCAAGCTGTCATTTTCAATTTATTGCTCTTTACTTTGAGTGTTAAGATGCATGACAGTGATGTGTTGATGTCTGACGAAATCTCTGCACGGATTCAGAAAACTCGTTTGGCTTTTGCCAAATTATGTCACCTATGGCGAAGGCGAGATTTCTGTCTATCAACAAAAGGATGAGTATACTGTGTAGCAGTTTTGGTTTATTCTAATTTAAGGCTATAAAACCTGGCCATTAGGAGTGGAGTATACTCGTAAGCTACCAGTAATTGATCACAGATGTCTTAGAAATAACGCTCGCATCTGCTGGGACAGCCTGGTAAGTAAATGTTAGGTTAGACGTAGGGTATTAGGGAATAATGGTAAATCAGTTGATGAGGTTGTGAATCTTCATCGATTGACATGGTTAGGCCACGTGTCACGTATGCCTGGACACCAGTTAGCACGACGGGCAATGCTGACTAGTGTTGAGGATGGTTGGGAGAAAACTAGGGGTGGCCAAACTAAAACGTGGTATCAGTGTTTGAAGTCATTAACTTCTGATCTGAGCCATGTTGGTAGATGTAGACTACTTGGTTGGCGTCCGCGTGACCATCGTAACTAATGTTTGGAGACTGTGGGTGATATGGCTCAGATCGATCACAATGACGTCAGTGCATACACTTTTTGTTTCGGGGAATTTTTGCAGATTGTAGTATTTTCGCAGTTAAAATCACTAAGTGATGTTATCTAGACTATGACGTTCTCGACGATCCTCCAGCTAAGATCATTTCATGATGTAATTTATGAAAAGTCTACAATCTGAGAGAATTCCCACATAATAATCATGTTTTCATTAGTGACGAGCCTCGAAGTGCAACTTGTGGAGTTCTACTAAGAAGCTATGACCAATGGAGTTTGACCATGTCATGTGTGACGAAGTTACTTATTTATCAAAGACACTGGAAGACAATGGTCTTACAACATCGTGAACTGACTGACATAGAATTTCTACACTACTGGATTCTGGCTCAGTGGTCTGGAGGTCATACAAACATCGGTACAAGAAAGCACCAAATAGATATGCGCCACACAGACCTCATTTGATATGTGTTAGGGCTGTGATACTGCCCCGGTACCCAAACCGAAGGTGTACTCTCTATTGAAATGGATTAAAAATGAATATTGATCATAAATAAAAACTATAAAATAAAGAAACACCTCTGACATTTCATTACTTTGTGATAAAGTACTATTTTCCTTGAGTTTATAAAACTGCTCGTCTTTCAATACAATAAGTTAAGATAGCGCCCGTAGACAGATACGACTAGACTATACAACCGCTCATGATTAGCACTATCATTTCAGTTCACATTTATTCATATGCCTAAAAGTGTCAGCATAGCACCAAATGAATTAAATACCAGACAACTAAAGCATGAGTCCTAGACTAAACTTCCAACCTAATAGCACAGAAGTGTAAGATGGTAGTTGAAGGTAGTTGATAAGAAACCCTGAACCTAGGTTTCGTGCTATTTGGCACTCATCAGCAAAGGACTGATGCTTCCTGACGGATTCGACCTCGTGTCACCCAGCTTCTCAATCAGAGACTCTACTATTGGTCTATCCGTGCTGCCACTGACCTCCTGTAGGGCTGAGATGTATTTATAATTGATTGATCACTGGGTGGTGATCATTGTCATGTATATCAGGTCCTTCTTAGTGCAGATTGAATCCTATCGACCAAGTTGCAATATAGCCATTAGTCTAGGTGACTCGATATCGAGTGCACCTCCAACCACCATCTTATCTCAACATAGTGCATGTAATGTCAAGTCACCTAGACTATTGGTCACATTGCGACTTGGTCGATAGGATTCAACTTGCACTAAGAAGCACCTGAAATGCATGATATCAATCACCACCCGGTGATCAATCAATTGTAAACTAGCAAAGTAAAGTTCAAACCTAACCATAAACCGAACAATTTCATAAATATTTAAATTGTTTCATTTTTAATATTAACAGGTTGAATGTAGTCGGATGGAGACTCTGTTCCTGTTAATTGTCACTTGTGAAGCACGAGTATCTGTTAGTTAAAGAGAGTATATACGCCTTAAGGGATTCATATCTATGACACTGAATGTCACAAACAGAGACATTATCATTGAAATATCCAATCTATGACTGACATCCTGTTGGACTGCTAATATATACTGAGTGATGATCAGTATGTCAATATATATATTCTACGGGATGAGGTTGTCGACCTCATGCTCAACCCTCCTCCTTTATCTGGGCTTGGGACCGGTAGTAACTCTAGAAGAGCTATAGGCGGATTGCTGGTGGGCGGCCGATGCTCCTCTACGAGGAGTAACCGGTGTAAGTAAGTGCTTGGTTTATTATAATCAATTATGATACTGATTACTAATTAGTAATCAATTTGTATAGCTTTACATTTTCTCTGTTCTTCTTCACTATTATCACTGTAACATTCTGATTAATGCCAAATTCTTTGAATAAGATGTACCAAAGTTCTAATCTGTCTATGATGGGATTCTGTAGGTTCTGTAGTCAAGCAAATATCTATCTACATTTAAAGAATAATCATGAAAGATTTATATCTAGAGCTTAGATCTGAAAGATTGTTAACCTAGTCAAAAATTGAATCGAATTAACCGAATACATTGTCTTTCACTGTAACTTAGTGAGTTTGTTGCTGATGTTGAAAACATCCTTGAAGCATCTATGTTGATAAGCTTAGTGTATAATGAGTTGGCGTTTAACGCGAGCTAAGCCAGGTTCAAGTCTCATTGTAGACAGTAACACTGCAATACGGATACACTTAAATGATGAGTCCCAAAAATGGGACAGAACGCTTATTTTGGATTCCACTTTTAAGCACAGATCCTCTGCTAGATCCGACCGGGGAATAAATGAATGGTAACAAATGGAAATTATTTATGGACTATTGTTACATATATTCTTAGTGTATAATCATAGAGTAACTATGTTGTAACTATGTTTCTTCTGGTAGTTGACTTGATTATGAAGACCTTGATATCTGACGGAAAGCACGGAATACAATGGAAAGCTCGGAATCAATTGAAAGATTCGAACTTCGCAGATGAACTAACCCATCTACCACATACACACGAGCAACTCGTGTAGTAGTAGCCTATGCATCAGTAGGTCTCAGTTTACGCAAAGGAAAAACCAAGATCCTCAAATACAACACAGAGAACAACAACCTATTCACACATGATGGATAAACTCTGGAAGATGTGGAAACGTTCACAAATCTAGGAAGCATCATCGATAAGCAAGGAGGATCGGATGCAGATGTAAAGGCGAGGATTAGTAAAGCACGAGCCGCATTCCTACAATTGAAGGACATATGAAACTCAGAAAACAACTGTCAACCACTATCAAAGTTAGAATCTTCAACACGAAAGTCAAAGCAGTCCTACTGTACGGAGCTGAAACTTGGAGAACTACAACAACCATCATCAAGAAGGTACAAGTATTTATGAATAGTTGTCTACTCAAGATGCTCAACATGCATTGACCGAATACCGCCAGTAACAGTCTCCTCTGGGAGACAACAAACCAGACTCCAGCTGAGGAGGAAATTAGGAAAAAAGGCTGGAAGTGGATAGGTCATACATTGAGGAAATCATCAAACCGCATTACGAGGCAAGCCCTCACTTAGAATCCTGAAGGGAAGCAGAAAAGAGGAAGGCCGAAGAACACATTACATCGAGAAATGGAAACAGATATGAAAAGAATGAATAAGAACTGGAAACAGCTGGAAAGGGTTGCCCAGGACAGGGTTGGATGGAGAATACTGGTGAGCGGCCTATGTCCCTTCACGAGGAGTAACAGGTGTAAAGAAATATTATATGTATATTCATTTTATTATGTGATGTGGTTAAGTGTGTTAGTAACTATGAGTCTTTTAGCGGAGGCTGATATATGTGTTCTGCACTGAATGAGCTGAGTTAGAAGAGAAGCTGTTATACAAAGAACCAATAAGGGTTTATAGTTGACTAAAGAATGCTAGTGCTATTCGACTCACTGTTCATTTATCACAGGAACAAGGTTATGTAAGTCGATATTGTGATTGGCTATTTTGTCACATGATAATTGACAGAGGCATAAGTCATAACACCTTCTTTACTAAAACTTGTGATCAAATGGCTATATAAATACAATCCACTCAGGATTCACTAATGCCAATATTGATCAATTGCAATCTGTAATATGAGATTCAATATGTGATCCAATTGTTAAAAGTTAACATTTTCCATCAACAGAAAGCATTGGACATCCATTTGGACACTTGCATTTCAGTTTCTCTCTTGGATCACTTAAGAACCAAGGTGATTCTGTGGATATTCGTTTAATTTGTTGGTTGTGTTCGTCACAGATTGATTTCAGATGATACAATAACAAGAATTAAGGAGGAAGAGTAGTGGGTCTAGTGTTTAAGCGTTCACTGCGGTACACAGCCATCTTAGATTCAAACCCTGAAGGTGTTGTGAATGTGCATTAGAAAGAAGTTCCATACTGGTATGAGACAATAGTTCGATGTTTCCAGGATCTTAATAGACCTTCAACTGATAACACCTAATGATGTAATTTGTGAAAGTCTTTTACCAGGTATACATTTATGTACATGACTTTGAAACTAATATATTGAATTTTCTTATCTTACATTATGGATACATCATAGTTAGAACAATCGTTGAAAATCAATAATTAGTGGGCAGTTGTTTCATTGTAGTATATGACTCCTAATTAATGTACATCCACAACATCATCAAGGAACAAACTCAGAGCCTTCAAGCCTTTAATGTCTTACATTTTTTAACTTGAATTAATTAGGGATACTACGAGTCTATTATTCACTTCTATTGTGGTATGTGCTACTTATATGGACATAAGTAGTAGATGATGTTAGTTGTGAACAGAATGTCTGGCAGCAGAGAGACAAGTCCTATAATTTTGTGTCAAATACATTCGATTGTCCCCACTAGTGTTCTCGTTCACTACACTATTAGTAATATTTGTCATACTCATAACATGATCAAAGTTCAATCTATCCTTATAAGGAATACATGTCATTGATATGTTGATTAAAGAAATCTACAATGAAATTGAATGATTTCATATAAAAGAATTCTAGATTATCATTTACTTCAATGTGTATTCATTACTAGGTATCAAATACATCTACTTAACACTGATTTGAGATCCTCGGAGGTTACCGCCAGATCCAAACCCATATAAAGAAGGGGGGTCGAGCATGAAGTTAACGACCTCATCTCATAGAAAACGAACTCGTTAAAAGAATACACCTACTTACTTGTTTGTAATAAAATATGTACAACATAATACAAACCATATGACTTAGAAACTAAAGAAATACCACCAAAATGGTTAGTTTATATCTTAACTCTTTTGTATTCTAATGAAAACAGAGACGGTTTGTGATTAAATGGCGGTTGGAGGCAGTCAACAGGAAACCATAGACCCGGATTTCGTGCTATTTGGCACTCATCAGCAAGGTGTACCTGTAATCTTGAGGGAACTGATACACCCTGGAGGTTCTAATCCCGTGTCACCCAGCTTCACAGTCAGAGACGTTACCACTGAGCTATCTGGGCCGTGGCCGACCTCCTCGGTGATTGAATATTGTAGATTTAATGTTTTTAGAATGAGAAATGTATTGAAAATTCGATAAGATTATAATTTGTGGACAACGTTTGAGAGATACTGTAATGAGCTTGAAACTGTCCACCTAATAACTAGGAACAAGTAAAGATTAGAAACCTGTTTGATGAATTAGAATTATGATTTATAGTTGATGATTAAGATTGGGAATTAGATTTAAAGTTTTCATCATGAGGTTGACATAAGCTACAATGCCAAAACTCTATTTAGCCAAATGGATAAATGAATTTCACGCCAATATCCAAGACCTGTTATTTTGAATCTGATTGGTTCATTCATAAATTATTGTCTGGATGAAAAGTTGAGACCCCCGCCGCGAGAAGGTGAGGGTGTTGGATCTACGAAATTGAGAGGATGGAAAACGAATGTCCAACGCTTCAACCGTGTTGGGGTATGTGAAGGATCCAACTATGGAAGTTGGAAAACACTCATTCCAAACCAATGGTGTACATGGGCTCCGGGATCCTCAAGGAACAAATGGCGTATGAACTAGTTGTTGGTCACCGGCTCTAATGAGACTGCATCTCCTGACGTTGCTCCACTGTCTTGTGGGTTAAACTTTTAGGTAGAAGGCTCCAGGTGTGGCCCTCTCTAAGAAAACCACCTACTTCAGTTTGGGCACCCAGGCAGTATCCCAGTCCACACACAAATCAAGTGACTTGTGCAATGTATATGTATTCGGTGCCCCTTTACACCAGTATATATCTATATATATATATATATATGTTTTCAAGTAAGTAAACGCTGATTAAGTTTAGGAATTAGATTTAGTCCTTTCATCACGAACAAACATCAGCTATAACGGCGAAATGCTATTTACCCAAATGGATGAAAACGTGTTATCTTTTATCTGATTGATTCATCGAGAAATTCTAGTCTCAACAAAAAGTTGCATAATCTCAGATAAGATTTTCTTTTACTGTAATCAGAACCATAGAACCAAATAAACTGTGTATTGTTTATGAATAATTGAATAAATCGAAGTCAATTTTATAATCAGTAGTATAAGAAAACTATTTAGCCATAGTACTTACAATGGACAATCATTACTTTACTTACTTACTTACTTAAGCCTGTATTACCCCTAAATGGATAAACATGGACTATAATAATAATTTCAATGGTAGAATTCATTAGTCAATTAAAGCTAGACCATCATAAAAAAAACTTGGAAGCATTGAATATCCATTTCATTCTCTTGTATGACTCTTTACCATGAGATGCTAGCTCGATGGTCTAAAGATTAACTATCCTAGATTTCAATCTCATGAAGCAAGATTATGGCCTCACACTTTCGATAAGTCTCACAATCGGACGAAACACCCATCTAACACTTCCAGATTTTTCCATAATGATCTCAATTCAAGTATTCTCAATGGTATAATAATCATGAGTCAGTTGAAGCTAGACCACCATTGAAAACCTGGAAGCACTGGACGGCCGTTTCGTCCCAGTATGGTACTCCTCAGCAGTGCGCATCCACGAACGCGCTCCATGCGGGATTCGAACCCAGGACCTACTGCCTTCGCGCGCGAGCACTTAACCATTAGACCACTGAGTCGTGGACGCGCACTGCTGAGGAGTCCCATACTAGGACGAAACGGCCGTCCAGTGCTTCCAGGTTTTCAATGGTGGTCTAGCTTCAACTGACTCATGATTTCAATCTGTGAAATTTACTAAAATCTCCACAAAACTCATTCTGGTATAATAATCATCAAAATATAAACTTCATTACCTGTAATAGTTCGCATAGAATCCGTATCATTAAACCAAATGTCTATCCTGATGATTTATTTATATTCATTATGATCAGTTCGTTGATTTGTCAATAATCATTGAATTCTAATAACCAATCAGAATGAAATGATTTAACCTTGAAAAATGATAATTTATACCAAAAAAATAATAATTTGGCAAGCATTTGTTATTTTTATTCTTTATCCCATTGATTCTATAAAGCATATACATTAAATATTCGATTAGAAAACTACTAAGGGGAAATAGTTGATATGAAATTTGTTATTGTGTGTGTGTGTGTCTGTGTGTGTGTGTGTGTGTGTGTGGAAGAGATACTGAAAGTGGATAGAAATCATTAAATGACATCACAAAACAGGAGCTAACTTGGAATTGTAAAGGGTAAAAGGTAAGGAGACAGGGATGGGGAAAGACTAAAGAATATATTACGTTGAGAAATGGAAGTAGATATGATGAAAAGGATAAATAACAACTGGAAAGGATTGGGTAGGACAGAGTGGAATGGAGTGGACTGGTGATTGGTCCATACTCCTTCATGAAGGGTAACAGGCATAAGTAATTAATTAATTATCAGTATGGGGTTGTGGAGATTATTAAGTTTTTGATTGAGATCATGAACCGATTGATGTTAAATCATCATTGAAAACCTGGAAACACTAGACGGCCGTTTCGTCTTTTTGCGGAGCTCCTCATCAGTGCTCACATACGATCCCACATGCCTGGACTAAGACCCAGGACTGTTATATCCGAGCGAAGATTAAATCACGAGTAAATCCTGAAACATATTAGTTGACTAATATTATCTATACATTCTTATGGTATGACTATTCAATAATTAGATTATGTATATTTACATTCCTCTTATTATAAACTTTATTTTGACCTATAATTTATTATTGTACGATTTACTGTTCTTAAGCTATGTTCATTTTATTGACTACTGCCTCCCACGTTCATAGCCACATTTGGCCAAATCTTGTATAAATGTTGTTTTCTATTTTATGGCGCGTTGTTGTCTGTCTGGTTGATTTATAAACCGAGTATGTCTGAAATAAACGATCCGATTCGATTCGATTCATATTACAAACGCTGGTATTGTGTTCTGGTCTCAAGCGGACGGGTTAGGAGGACATAGAATCAATAAGGACGCTAGACTGCTCATACCGGTTGAACGTCATTGGTTTGTCATAGTGCGAAGACATGTATAAATCGTATTTTGATTGGTGGATAAATTACGTGATAAGAAGCCGGACATAAAATCATAACAAGGACATCCGGTGTCGCACGTCGACGCTTAACCTCTAGACCATTGAGGTGGTGTTAATGTCTAGCTCTAATAGATCCACAATATTGAACGACCATCTTCCACTGTATTCGGTGGGTAACTGCGTCACACCGGACACGGTAGAACTGCATGATGAGTTAGTTAGAATGAGGGTGACGAGTCATATTTATTTGTACCTAAAATTTAAAAAAACGCACGGTAACATTCACCAAAAGAACAGCCATGGAGTCAACTTTATTGTACGGGTAAATAACTAAGAATTGATAAGATAAACCTTGTTATGTCAGTATACGCTGAAGGTATAGTAGTATGAAGGTATGCACATTATACTGACATTATATACTGCAACAGATGAGTTCCTATTACCATATAATAATGTTGAAAGAATCCCATCTATAGTGGTATTCAAAATGTACTTTTCGTCCTGTTTAATACCAGTTAACTAGATATCCTTACATCTTACTATTTATAATCACTATTACTCCTTTTCTGTGATTCAGATACACCTAGATGACGAGGAATAAATAAGATAAAACGCGGTTCCTGTTGAGGAGATCCAAAAAACTCCTCGAAAAAAAAGCGAAATAAACCTTCTGAAAACACTGTGAAACATTTTATCCAATTAGTATTCAATAGAAGTTTTGCCAGAAACATCTAGAAAGTGAAAGGTCTCATGTCGAGTTTCTGATTAGATCATTATTATTAGCATTATTAGCATTTCAGAACTTTCCAAGAAAACCCATAGCCATCTTAAATGCTATAAATACCCTAGATTTTCTATACATAAACGAACCTTTGAACTAAAACATTATCTTCTAGCTGGATGGTTTAGTCGTGGAGCTTTCATCATTCTTCTGAACAACATCATCAGCACAAACTTCATCAAAATCATCCATCTGAACTACAAATCTTCTCCACTATTTCAAAACCATTTTCTTCTCATATTCCTCACCTTTTCTCTTGTATTCACGTTGCTGGATAGATTCAACCTGAGAAAGGGGGGAAGGGTTTCTAGAACAGCTTCAGAAATTGAATCTAGTTAGATTTAAATCAATCCATTTTGGTTGTTTTGTTTTACAGTGAAAACATTTTTTTGTTAATTATGTCACGCATATTTTCTTCAAATTGACCATTGAATGATTGATTAAAATGAAGAAAATAAATCGATTTCTTGTTCTTATAATGATCATTCAATGATGAAGTATCCATGGAAAATTATTGATTATGTTCAATATGAAATTGTTCTTTGTAAGCAATGATGGATAGTGGCTAACAGTGGAATCCAGGACGCAAAGATATGAGCCAAACAATACCAAGTGAAATTATTCTTGTTTGAAATGTTTCAAGTCAATCAATGTTGTGATTACATTTGTAGTCAATGTTGTGTTGAGTTGTTCTCGTTGTCACTATTCTTAGTGCTGTTGTTTTTCTCGTTGTTGTCTTGTTCTTTATTGTTCTCGTTGTTATTGTTCTCGTTTTTGCTGTTCTCGTTGTTGCTGCACTCGTAGTAGTAGTAGTAGTAGTAGTAGTAGTAGTAGTAGTAGTAGTAGTAGTAGTAGTAGTTGTTGTTGTTGTTGTTGTTGTTGTTGTTGTTGTTGTTGTTGAATGTTCAATGAATCATGAAGATTTTAACTTGTGAATGTTTAAATCGATTGAACTAATTCAATAAGACCTAGTTTATACTCACATTTGTTTATGGTAACTTAATTTATTGAATAGAGGTTATTAACTTATATAAATAAAGAATATAGAATAATTTCGATAATGCAATGAGAAGACGAAGTTTATCAGAATTATGTGATGATAGATTTGCGCGATACATTCCGAACAATCTGATCACACATTACATACTTGTTAAGAACATTTATATATGAAAAATTAAAAGGTCAACTAGACAGGTTAAGGGTAAGTCATAACAAAGGAAAAATTATTAAAGTACACAAAAACAAATGTGATTACCACTCTGGACAGTAAATCAGTACTACCAGGGTAGGTTAAGTGTAAGTACAAATTGTTTTTGAACACATAAAGGGGGTTTCAATTTTCGTATAGCCAAGGCTTCAATAAACCTTAGTATACGTCCTTGAAGGCTTTTGTACAACACAACAAATGATGATTTGATATCAACCTTATGACCCGTCTCAATCAAATGTTTCGCAATGGATGATGATGTCTGTCTATCCTGTGATCTTATTTCACCACTGGAATTCATCTGATTCTGCAACCATTTTGGTATATGTTCACCAATCCTTAATTGCAAATCACGATTGCTCCTCCCTACGTACGTGTTTCCACACATACATGTAAATTGATAGACACAGTCGCTTACGTGTTATTTGGGCTTTTGGTGAAACATAGACCTTGTCTTTTCGATAATGACAAGTTGGGCTGTATAATATGTCCGGTTGATAGCTAATTTAAGTCTCTGTTTCAACATGAGACTATTTGTGTCACCTCTGAATAGTAGCTTAATATAAACTCGCTTTTTGGGTGCCAGAAGCGTCATAGGTCTAGTCATATTGCAACCCTTCCAGCGGTTTATGAACTTCAAAGGGTAACCATTATTGATTAACGCATCAGTCAAGAGCTTCATCTCTACTTCAATAGTATCACTAGTACAAATACGATTGATTCTATTGAATAAGCTCTTTATCAGAATGGGTTTTGTGGAGAGTTTTAGAAATTTCACAAGTTGAAATCATGAGTCAGTTGAAGCTAGACCACCATTGAAAACCTGGAAGCACTGGACGGCCGTTTCGTCCTGGTATGGGACTCCTCAGCAGTGCGCACCCACGATCCCGTACCACGCGGGGCTCGAACCCAGGACCTACTGGCTTCGCGCGCGAGCACCTAACCACTAGACCACTGAGCCGGCATCCAACGGTGTTAATGTCTAACTTCAACCAATCCACGAAGTTGCGCCACCGTACACCATTGTCTTCAGTGAGTTGTTATCCCGCGTGGTGCGGGATCGTGGATGCGCACTGCTGAGGAGTCCCATACTAGGACGAAACGGCCGTCCAGTGCTTCCAGGTTTTCAATGGTGGTCTAGCTTCAACTGACTCATGATTTCAACTTGTGAAATTTCTAAAACTCTCCACAAAACCCATTCTGATAATAATCAACTGCTCACTAGTGACTGACTTCAGGAAAAACTTCTGGAGTTCTAGTGAGAAGCCGTTACCAGTGGAGTTCAACCGGTCTGTTGTGAGATAACAACTCACTGAAGACAATGGTGTACGGTGGCGCAACTTCGTGGATTGGTTGAAGTTAGACATTAACACCGTTGGATGCCGGCTCAGTGGTCTAGTGGTTAGGTGCTCGCGCGCGGAGCCAGTAGGTCCTGGGTTCGAGCCCCGCGTGGTGCGGGATCGTGGATGCGCACTGCTGAGGAGTCCCATACCAGGACGAAACGGCCGTCCAGTGCTTCCAGGTTTTCAATGGTGGTCTAGCTTCAACTGACTCATGATTTCAACTTGTGAAATAAGCTCTTTATTAAACCGCGTTTATAATGAATAGGGCAGTGACTATGAAAATTAAGATATTGTCCTGTCCATGTTGGTTTTCTATATGTAGCACGTTTGATGGACCCATCATCTCTCCTAGTAATCAGGATGTCAAGAAAAGGAAGTTGGTTGTTCTTCTCTTACATGTGTTCAAAAACAATTTGTACTTACACTTAACCTACCCTGGTAGTACTGATTTACTATCCAGAGTGGTAATCACATTTGTTTTTGTGTACTTCAATATTTTTCCTTTGTTATGACTTACCCTTAACCTGTCTAGTTGACCTTTTAATTTTTCATATATAAATGTTCTTAACAAGTAGATGATGTGTGATCAGATTGTTCGGAATGTATCGCGCAAATCTATCATCACATAATTCTGATAAACTACGTCTTCTCATCGCA